CCAGGACGGACCGCGGGGGCGCGGGCTGCGAGCTCGTGGCCTTCTTATCACCGTTCTTGTGTTTATTATTTTAAAGTGTGAACGTAGATGCACAACCCGTGGACACAGACGTTAGTTTGGGGAAAGCAGGAGGGTGGTGGGAACGAGGAGGTCAGTGGGGGGAAAAGGCAGGGAGGTCTAATACCTGCAACAATAAAAATCAAAATAAATAAAAAATATGTTTTAAAAAGCGTGAACACTGACAATGCCGGTGCCCAGTGCCTTTCGAACAGCGTGGGCCCCGGGGGCTGCCCGTTCAGGACCACGGCTGTTCCTGCTCCTTCCCGGTGTGCGGAGCCCTCTCCCCAGCCCGGGAGGGAGGCTGAGGAGGGGCGGACCCGGTGTTGGGTTCAGGGGAGCTCCCAGGTGCCGGGGTCTGGGGACATGGAGGGGGAGGCCCGCTGCGCCGCTTCGGCAAGGCCGTCAGCGTGGTGAGGCACGTCCACAGGCTGCCCCCCAAGACGGCTGCCCTGTGCACAGGAGGTCGGGTCCAGCCGCCAGTGTTTGTTCAGCGGTTTGGAATTTTCCCACGAGGGACAGAGGTCGTACGTCTCTGTGGTCATCCCGTTTTCATCGGGTTCACGTCGATGTGCTCCGGCCCCGGAGAGGCTGCGGACGCCTCCTGTCTCGCTCACAGAGCCGGGGGGACCCCGCCAGGCCCTGCTGTGGGCGGCTGCTCCCCCGTTCTAGGTGCTTCTGTGCTCAAGGCTCGGCGGGACGGCCAGCTCCGTCACGCACGCCTCCAGGGCCCTTCCTCCAGCCCCGCCCCTGCGCGCACCCTCTCCGCCAGGTGGGACAGGCGATGAGGAGACCCTGCCCCTCCACCTGCGACCCTCTCCTTCCAGGGGCGCGGGTGTCCGCGTCCCCAGGTTGCCAAGTCGGGGCTCCCAGGGGTCTCTGCAGCCTCCTCCCTGGCTCTCCCGCCTCTAACGAATGGCTAACGGGCACGGAAGAGGGTCTCTAGTGGGGCAGACGGCAAAGTCCTCCAACGCTGTGAAGGCGCGTGACGGGAACTCACGCTCCGCCATCAGAGGCCAGTAGCTCTGTGACAGCCAGAGCCGCTCCCCAGGGCTGGGCGTTGGTCAGCGTGTGCGCGGCGTGGCTGTGTGGGGGCAGCTAGGCACACGTGAGCATAGCAAGGACATGGCCAGGTCCCGGTCACCGGGGTGCCCAGCAAAGAACACGGGTGGGGTGGGACCTCGTCCCCAGGGGGACCTTCCTCCCCTGGCACATGGTTGGTCACGCGGCTTGGGCCCCTTGACCGTCTCCCCCCTGGAGACCATCTCGGCCTCAGCTGCAGTTCAGCTCCCGGCCCAGAAAAGCAGCAAAACCAGACCAGCGACCCCAATGCCGCAGCTCACCTCAGGACCCGCCGCACTGGACAATGGCCTATATTCTAATAAAGTTTTCCTCTGCGGACTGGCTCACGCCTGCTCCGCTGTGGACGATGTCAACCGCACTAAGTGTGAATTTTGTAAGATTGTCGCGCATGAGGCTCTGAGGCTCGGGGAGGGAGAGGCGGGGACACTCACATTCTCGGGTGTCCGCGACAGGCCGCGGCCGCCCCCCACGGATGGATGGGAGCCGCCCCAAGCAGTCGGGGGCAGCACAGGACAGAGGCCCCGCGTTCCACTGGGGTGATGTGCACGCAGGTCCTTGTGTGACCTGGCGACTGGGACCCTCGGCCCTACAGGCCGTAAGACTACAACTCGACGCGCTGCTTTTCTGTGATGAAACACGAGAGAGAAAAAATTCATTTACATTGCCTTTTTAAAATTACAAATGACTTTCAAAGTGGTTTTTATTTACAGGTATGACAGCATCTGTCCTGAGACAGAACTGTCAGCTGTGAGCCGGGACGTCACTGGCCAGGCGAAGGTCCCTCCGGCTGCGGAGGCAGCACCTACTCTGCTCTGCGGAGGGGTCCCTGCTCCCAGCTCCTGGCTCAGGCGGGTTGGCACTGGCGTCCCTCTTCACGCCTGCTCCAGCGTGGACACTGTCAACTGCACGGGACAGGTCCTCGGCCCCGAGGCTGTGGCACAGGCCGCCCAGAAGCTGGGGCTCCCCAGCTTCCCTGCACCCAGCCCCCCAAAACGCAGGGACACAGTGGTCATTCCTGGCTGCAGCCTGGCCGGGCAGAATCCGCCTCCGTACTAGAAGCGTGGACTCTGTCTCCGCACCTCCGTGTGGTCTTCGATGGCTGTGAATTTGCTTTCGAAAGGGGGCCCCCCCGTCTGCCTTCTTAGCTGAGGTGACACTGAGCACACAGGGTGGTGACCTGTCCCAGAGGTCAAACCCCCTGGCTCTCTGCTTCAAAGTGGCTTCCACCTTCTCGGAGCTCACCGCTGCCCCACCCCGGAGCTCACCGCTGCCCCACCCCGTGGTGGCGGTGGGCGGTCCTGACCGTCAGGTGGGCCCCAGGGGCAGGCCGCCCCGCCCTGGCATCTCTGGGCAGGGAGCGCCTTCTCCGGAAGGGACGCGGAAGGGTGTGGAGGACTGAATGGCGACCCCAGAGGTTGCCTCCGCCCAATCCCGTGGACCTGTGAGCTGACTTTCTCAGGAGAAGAATTTCGGGAGACATGATTCAGGGTCTTGAGAGGTGACCGTCCTGGATCACCTGGGTAGGCGGTGACGAGTGTTCTCACGAGAGACAAAAGCCAAGGCGCGCAGAGGAGAGGCCCGGGAGACGGGCACAGACAGGGCGCAGCCAAGGAGGCCGACCCCAGGGCTGGAGGGAGGCAGGGGTGGACCCGCAGAGCCCCCAGAGGAAGCGCCGTGACTGCTGTGCGGGCCGGGTGCAGGGCCCGCCGGGAAGGGCACCCCGGAGCCCAGGACAAGGAGTTCCCAGGTGCCTGAGCCCGTCGGACTCACTGACATGCCCGCGTCAGGACCGCAGCAGGAACGGCAGCTGGACACCCACTCACCTGAGCCGAGAACCGGGGAACGTGGGCCCTTGCGCAGCCCTGGACGAAGGCGGGGCTTAGGCAGCAAGGGCAACGACCGAAACCCACACCCCAGTTCCACGGACACGAACGCGCGTCCTGTGCAGCGCGAGGAACCTTCGGGGCGCTCCCTGGGCAGAGCGGCCGTGGCGGAGGGCTCGGACCCAGGGGAAGGCGGGCCGGGCTCTCCCCGACCACACCTGGGCTGAGAATGACCCTCAGCTCCCTGCTCCCGCAGGGGTCAGCCGGAGGGCAGACCCGAGGGACCCCGACGCGCGCGGAACCAAAGCCCCCGTCCGGGTGTCTCAGAGGACGTGTGAAGGGCTAAGAGGAATCACACGTTTTAAGGAAGCACCGAAGTCCCCGAGCCCAGGGCGCGGCTCGCTTCCGGAAGCTGCCAGGGACCGAGGCTCCGGCAGCAGAATGAACAGTGAGGTGAAGGAAGGAAGGAGCACGCTCCCCAGGCTTCCCATCCACACTGAACCCCAAGAACCAGGAGTGAGGCGGAGGGCGGGCAAGCGCAGGTCCGACGGGAAGCGCTGGGTGACCTGCGGGCTAAGTCCCGACGGAAATGAGCTAGAAGGTGTCACCACAAAAAGCAAGCATGTGCCATTCGGAAGAGGGGCCCGGCAGCCCTGGAGGGACCGGTGGGAAATGAAACTCAGGTGACCACAGCAGGGCCCCCCAACAGGCCGTGGGGGGAGCGAACTGCCAGCCGCCAGAGCTGCGCACTCCAGACGTGCTGAGCGATGGGGACACAGCACCCTTGAGCTGCCCGCGCCCTGCCCTGCGCCTCCTGCACCCGCCCGCTGTGGGCAGGCACCCCCCCCCCCGTCCCCTAGCACAGGGCTCCCCGCACCCGCCCGCTATGGACAGGCCCCCCCCTGTCCCCTAGCACAGGGCTCCCCGCGCCCGCCCGCTGTGGACAGGCCCCCCCCTGTCCCCTAGCACAGGGCTCCCCGCACCCGCTGTGGGCAGGCCCCCCCTCTGTCCCGCTAGCACAGGGCTCCCCGCACCCGCTGTGGGCAGGCCCCCCCTCTGTCCCCTAGCACAGGGCTCCCGCACCCGCCCGCTGTGGACAGGCCCCCCCCTCTGTCCCCTAGCACAGGGCTCCCCGCGCCCGCCCGCTGTGGGCAGGCCCCCCCTCTGTCCCCTAGCACAGGGCTCCCCGCACCCGCTGTGGGCAGGCCCCCGCCCTCTGTCCCCTAGCACAGGGCTCCCCGCACCCGCTGTGGGCAGGCCCCCGCCCTCTGTCCCCTAGCACAGGGCTCCCCGCACCCGCTGTGGGCAGGCCCCCGCCCTCTGTCCCCCTAGTACAGGGCTCCCCCCCCCCCGTCCCGCTAGCACCGGGCTCAGGACTTGCTGAGCTGTCGGAGAAGCATGCTCAGTGCTCCCAGGGGCCATGGACCTGGGAGGACACAGCTGGGTGCTGCCCGGGACCCCTGGGAAGAGCAGCGGGGAGCACAGAGCGGAGCAGGCTCTCCCGTGGTCACGGCGGCCCCTCAGCCTCTGGCAGGCCGTTCCCTGCTGGCGGGGGTCTGTCTCCTGTGCCTCTGGGCCCCTCCGGGCCTGGCTCCCCTCAAACTGGAATCGTCTCGGCCTGCAGAGCAAGGGGAGGGACCACCTGGCCTTCCCTCGGGTGACTCCGGACCCTGCCAGCTGGTTCCCGCCACGGGACGGCCCACGAGGACCAGGGCGGCGGGACAGCCACTCCCCATGGGCCGAGGGAGACGCTCCCGCCACGGGACGGCCCACAAGGACCAGGGTGGCAGGACAGCCACTCCCCACGGGCTGAGGGAGACGCTCCTGCCACGGGACGGCCCACGAGGACCAGGGTGGCAGGATAGCCACTCCCCACGGGCCGTGGGAGACGCTCCTGCCACGGGACGGCCCACGAGGACCAGGGCGGCAGGACAGCCACTCCCCACAGGCTGAGGGAGACGCTCCTGCCACGGGACGGCCCACGAGGACCAGGGCGGCGGGACAGCCACTCCCCACGGGCCGTGGGAAACGCTCCAGCACTTTATTGAAAGAAAGCAATAAATAACACTGTGATAAAAAGAGCTCCAAAGTGGACTGTACATCCTTTGTCACATACCAGGAAGTTCACAGAGTGATAGAAAACAGCAGTGATGGTGAATCGCACAAGCCACGCGGGAGCAGAAGCAAATGCAGACACGCTGTCCCCGCCTGCCTGTCTGTCCCGCAGCGGCCGCATAATAAATACCGCACGTGACCCCACGCAGTCCCGCTGGCTGCGGTGTCACACGCCACGGAAAGGGGAGGCGTGCCCCTGGCCGCGCCGACCGTCCAGATGGCTGTGTCGTAAAATCTACAAACGTATGACTGGGTCCATTCTTTAAACACGTCTACAGACAAATGTGAAAAGATGGTCAGGTAAGAAAAATAAGGCCTTTATTAGTAGTGTGGCATCCTCCTCGGGAGCCCGCACGTCCTCTGTGCAGCGAGGTCCCTGCAGCGAGCTGTGGCCTCCGATTGGTCCTCACGGGTGGGGGTGCCAGCGCCTTCCCACCCCTGGGGGAGAGCCGGAGGCCACAGCTCCCCCACCGTCTCTTCCTGTCCAGCTGAGAAGTGTCCGCCGCTCCGGCTCCCGCCCGTCCCCGAGGCGAGCTCTGCGTCTGCAGAGGCGGGCTCTGAAGGGGTGAGCGGGCCGCGGTCCATAGTGTCCTGCTCATCCTCACCGTCCGAACTTCACGAGAAGCTGGCGTCCCACCGGACATGCTCACGCTGCAGGACAGCGCTTCTCGCAGAACAGTGCAGCGGGGTCAGGCACTGAAGCACAGCAGCGACGCTGGAAACAGGCTGCTCGCTCCGGACGCCGGCCCGGCGGCAGGCCAGGCTCGGGAGGGCGGCTTCCCCAGCACAGGGGATCCTCTCCGCGGGTGGTGTGTGATTGGAAATGAAACGATCATTACAATTAATGCATAATTTACAGAAGCCCACGTGCCCGCGGGACTTGTGCACGCGAGCGTGACGTGCCTTCCTCGAAGACCAGGAGAAGGAGCACGGGAGCTGATTGGAGGGTACTCAGCCGGGCCATACATGAAAAAGTAACTATATAAACGAAGGCATAAGTTCACATAAATATAAGAAACATTAAATTCTAAAATATTCTCTTTATGGTATTCATAAATCTTCTCGCTGATTAAAAACTCTGTAATAAAATATCTCAGGGTCCATATAACAAGTTCCGACAGGCTGCAGAGCCCACCGGATGCTGAAACGCCGTCCTCGCGGGGTCCAGGCGCCGCCGTCACCTGTACAAGTAATGTGGGTAAACTGGAAAAGAAGCAGAAAGACCAGCCTGAGACCAGCCCCCAGCGAGGGGAAGAGCCCCCCGCGGGCTCCCGGCCTCCCGAGCCTGCACCGTACTGCCCCAGGGACTGTGATATCAGCGAGAGAATCCCTTCACTGACTTTATTTTAGCATGTGTCTAAAGGTTATCAGTTTTCAAAAAAGATGCCGAGCCCTGGCCAGGGTGGCTCAGTGGGCTGGGCGTCGCCCCGTGTACTAGTGGGTGGCGGGTCCAGTCCCGGTCAGGGCACATGCCTTGATTTCCAGCTCGACCCCAGTAGGGGGCGTGCAGGAGGAAGCCAATGGAGGTTTTTGTCTCCTGTTCATGTTTCTCTCTCCTCTTCCCTCTCTCAAATCAATAAAAACTTTATAAAAAAAAAAAGATGACGAAACCAATCGAATATCTTGGCTGAGACATGGCGACATAACTGAGCAGACCAGTGCCCTCCGTCCAGCCCTCCGCGCAGCGCTGGGCTGGCTCCGGCCCGTGCCCACCACCCAGCACCCACGAGGCGCGCTGGGGCCCCAGGGACTGACGCGGGGCAGCGCCAGTGGCACGCCAGGCACCGCTCCTGGAACAGCTCCGCTGTCTCGTTCGAGGAAGTGCGCTTATCCCAGCTCACCAGCAAGGCGCCTGGGGACCACAGAGGCACCCACACACGTCCAAGTGCCAAGGGGCCTGCACCCGGCGCTCCGAACCATGGGCAGCGGCCAGCTAGGAGCCCAGTTCACGTTTCCTGCTGCGTTCTGCCCCCGCCGCCCCACCCCGAAAGGACGTTAGCAGACACTCAAGGAAGCCAGCATTCTCAGGTCACAGACACCGCAGCAGACACCCTGAAGAGGGGGGCGCCAGCCTCGTGCCGGGCTGCAAGCACACAGCCCCGGAGCCGCCTCAGTGGCGCAGAGGCTCCTGCTCTTGGCCCAGTTCCCGAGCGACCCGATGGCCCCCTGGCCACAGGCTTGAGGGGCGCCGCTGCCGTCCACTCACCGGCTTCAGCAGGAGTAGGTGCGGACGGTGGCGGAGTCCAGCCTCTGCGAGCCCGGCAGGCTGCCTGCTCCGCGCCCGGGGAAGCATGCAAACACAGCGTGCGGTTAGTGCGGCCGCCACACGACAGGCACCTCACCCCCCCAGGCTTCCAGGGAGCCCTCCGGGGCTCGATGAGCCAGAGAAAGAGGACCCCAGTGTCCCCAAGGGCGGTGTCCCTAGGTGTCTCGTCTCCAAGCAGCCCTGTCACTGCCAGTTCAGTTAATTCCGAGACAGCAGCAGTGCGTCTGACGGTGTAAGAACAATTCCACCGGTGCATCTGCGTCCGTGGCCACTACTTCGTGTGATCCCTGTTCTCCTCAACCTGTCTAATCTGAGTGAGCAACGGGACTCTCCTTTCAGCCCTACACACTGTCTGTGAGAACGGCAGGTGACACCTGCTACCAGCCCACTGGTGGGCGGGGTCAAGGGTCAAGTGCACCCCTGGCCTGAAGGGAGGAGGGCCACCTCCCGGCACCCTCCGCACCTGCCTGTGAAGGACAGTGCCGGCCTGGGAGGCCTCTCGGGCAGTTCAGCCCAGAAGCGGCTGGAGGACACGCCTTATCTAAGGAACTACAGTCCAGTCGGCGGACACAGGGCACGCCACAGACTTTTGGGGTAAGAAACATACTGCATGGCCCAGCAGAAAAGCCCCAATTCTTCCTCGCAAATCTGATTAATACATTTTCAAAACTGAGCACCAGATACCCGCCGTTCTCAATGACACTCTGCCGCACACCAGGACTACTCCGCACAGGAGTCCGCAGGGCCCCGAGAGGCACCGGCAGCGGGCTGCGGAGAGTGGGTCCCCTTATCAACCCTCCGGTTTGAAGGGCCTGGGAGACCTGCGAGTCCCTTGCACGCCCTGGTTTAAAAAGCCACTAAAATGATCAACTTCCCAGGTTTAGGCATTCGTCATACAGTGTAGAACATGCTGTATGTTATACTCCCAAAACCTTTTTCTAGAAATGTGTTAAATTCATCTAGACTCTAACCTCATTATTGCTACTAACATTTCACAGGAAAACACAAGTTGTAATAAAGAAAATGGAAATGAAACTGGAAGAAAAAGAAAAAAGCACTCAGACTATTCAATAAGTCAAAGGCCAAACTACAGTTAAAATTCATAGAACTTAGCTGCATGCATCTTAAAAAAAAATGTGACCTTAAAAATGTTACTGGCTTTCCTACGAGCACACTGTTGAACTCTGCCAGAGAGAGGCAGCTTTCAGTAAGAAGGCTGCCCTGGCCCTGGCCGTTGTGACTACTGGCTGGAACATGTCCCGGGCACCGAGGGGGCGGGTCAGGCCCTGGTGAGGGCACACACCTGGGCTGCGGTCTGATCCCTGGTCGAGGCAAGTACAGGAGGCAACCGATGGATGTTCCTAACACTGAGGTCTCCCTGCCCGTCCCTGACTGTTACACAGGGGTGAGAACGACCTCTAACCCCACCCCAACGGGCTGGAAAAAGAGCAGAGCCTCACAGGGCCACACCCCCTCTCGGAGCCCATCGGAGGCAGATGGAGTCCCTGTAACAGGAAGTGGCTGCGCCGACGCAGACATGCCACTTTGTAAGAGCTTCGTGGGAATTCATTAATGACCACACCAGGCGGACGAGGAAGAGACTGGTGGGACGGCCACGTCACAGATGGGGACCGAGGGGCGGGGCTCAAGGCCGTGCACCCATGTCTGCCACCGAGAGGGTCGAGCACAGCGGCTGTCCAAGCAGAGTCCGAGGCCTGATCTGAAACCACGACCGCAAGGCTGGTCTCGTCAGCGAGACGAGCTGCCATCCAGGGACGACCCCCAGGCTTACGCCCCTGCTTGTCTCCATCCTTCTGGGACATGGACGGACCACAGCGGGGACAGAGGACGAAAGGAGACACAGCACTCCCAGAGGTCCAAACAAACGGTGCTGTTTAAATGGACTCGGCCACCTTTCCGGTGTGAACAGGGGTCCAGGAGCAAGTGAGGTGGACTGGAAGCCACGACACTGCTGTTCTGACAGGGTCCTGAAGCCGCCTGTCACACACCCCTTCCTGGGCGGGAGTCAACGCAACGCACTGAGGCTGTGCGGTGCTCAGCTTCCTTCGTTGGAAGAATGTGAATATTCAACCAGACGAGAACGTAAATACAAAATCTGTTACTGGTAAGCTCTCACAAACAGCGTTAGGGTTAATGGACATGTAGGCGGGACATGCCGCTACACTGACATGCCTCCTGCCCTATGAGACGGCCGTTCCCGACAGGCACCCACACCCGGCCACCGGCCCTGCCCCTGCACAGGCAGGCGCGAGGCCTCACGTACCGTCCAGCTGCATCTTCTTGGGCGGCACTGAGGGTGAGGACAGGGAGGAGGTGACCCGGAAGTTTGCGGGGAGAGTCTCTGCCGACCCGGCAGCAAGGCCGCGAACATCTTTGGGTCTGAACTTTTTTCTCCAGGAAGGTGCCCTCCTGAAGCTCTTGTCGTCGTCCTGAACACGAGAGCACAGAGCACGGCGCTGTCAGGGACACTCACCGTCGGTTCCCAGCCCGTTGGGAAGACGGCGGGACTCGTTCCTGCACTGTGTCACTTTATCTGAACCTGCTCTTGACGGCCACGTGATCTGCTGACCATGGAGCCCGGGTGCAGGAGGCGGGCGGCCCCACGCAGGGACCCTGCCCCTCCTCTCCAGCACCGTGTGCCTGTCACTTCTCACGTCGCAGAAGTCACTGCCCTACTCTGGGAGACAACGCGTCTCCGTCTTAAACACAGCTGTCGAGTGGTGACTGGTTCTGTCTTATGCTGGGACAGAGCCCGCAGGTGCTTCGAACTCGAGCTTCCTCATGGCCCAGTGAAGTAAGAATGTGTGGAAAGAAGTGAGTCATGGTTTTGTATAAGGAAACATGACCACTTTGTGTGGTTTTCTTCATCTACTTCTGACATACCCCCGAGCACAGGCTCCGGGTCGGGGGGAGCCGGCCAGCCGCCCGAGCACGGCTCACAGACAGACCCCATTCCCGGGCACAGTCGCTCTGTGAAAACCGTTTCTGAGGTTTCTCAAAAGTTAAGTAACAAAAAGTAAAATAACCTATCTTACTGAAAATCTTAGTTTCTTAATAGCTCATCTGTTCATCAAGTTTTAAGAACAGAGCCCGCCCTGCACAGTAAAAATGCCGCCACGCTAGCGGGGTGCCCAGCGCAGACGGCGCCCGACAGAGCAGCTGCCAGTTAACCCCGCCGGACAGCCCTCAGCCGGAACCTACCTCATTGAAGCGTCGGTCAGTCCCCATGACTAAGAGGTGGTTAAACTCTCTCTCCAACACGGACCGGGCCTGAAACCACAAACCCAGACGTCAGTCCCCGGAAGGGCCGGTGCAGCACAACTGCTTCAAGCAACACTTCCAACCACCACGGACAAGCTAGCAATGCCTTGAGCTAGGGTCCGAATCACGCGTTAACGGGGTCCAGATGGACTCCTGGATACTGTTCAGAGGGTGCTGGGGCAGGCAGGGGGGGGCTGGTAAAGGACAGGGAATCTTCGGCAAGGGACAAAGAAAGGAGCCCAGGAGGCAGAAAGGACTAGGTGAGGCAGTTACCCCGGAGACACACCATCACCCCCATCTGGCACACGTCAGAACTGCATCAACGCGGCTCTGATGAGCACGGGGACTGGGATGAAAGTTCCCACCACTGTGTTTCTCACAAGACTCTCATGCTTGCAGCAGACAGAGAAGAGAACAAGAATAACGAAGAACTCAGCCTTGCTGATCGGAACTGTCCTGCTACAGATCAGGTATGGACTCGAGTGACCCCACGTGGGCCGGGAGCCGAGGGGACAGGCGGGAGGCCGGCTGGTGTCACCTGGGTGTTCTGCGTGGGGATCTGTAAGAGCAGGGCCAGCACGTTGAAGTCGAAGGTCTCGTCCAAGGCCATGAGCGCGCCGTGCACCCCGCTCTCCAGGAGGTTGTCTGCGTACTCCTTCAGGCCGATGGACAGGATCCAGCGAATCACTCGATCATTGCTCCAGACAAGCACGTCTGCAGGGAAAAGAAAGGACGACGCACGTGACTTCAGGGGGCTGGCCACCATGCACCCCTGGAACACAGGACTACGGCTCCACAGGGATCCCGCCCTTCGGTCCTGGCGGGAGACCTGAGCCTCGCGAGAGCCGAGCAGCCCTGCTGAGCGTGCAGACAGCCACTCGCTGCCCCAGCCAGCGAGGTCTTGGCCCTCCTCCAGCTCAGAGCCTCCCATCAGAACCGATCTGCAGGTGAGTCCACGGGAGTCAGGCTATCTCGTGCATTCAGCGTCAAGAGGAGAAAGTGATGCGGGTCCAGGGATCGCAGACCACAAGGCCAGGTGCCAACACGGGTCCCACGGGAGCCTGACGCCCTTCCATCTCAGGAGCTGACACCGACACCCACGCCTTGCTCAAGTCAACACTAACCTCCCGCTGATGAGCTTGAAGCCGTTTTTCCTGTCTTGTTTTTAAATGAGAGAAACTATAGATATTCTCCAGAATACTAAAAATCTGGGGGGAAGATTTTATACTTTATAAAGTAATAAATCATTAAATTTGCTCTAAAAAAGCCTCTATAAAATACATTCAAATGACTATCAACTCCTTTCAACGACAGCTTTGTCAATTGTAAAAAGATTTAAAATGAATAGAGAGCCCTGGCCCTGGCCGGTGTTGGCCCGCGGACCAGAGTCCCGGGTTCGGTTCCAGCCAAGTGCACGTACCTCGGTTGCAATTTGTCCCCAGCCCTGGCTGGGGTTGTGTGGGTGGCAACCAGTTGATGTGTCTCTCTCTCACATCGATGTTTCTCTCTCTCTCTCTTCCTCCCTCTCTCCTTCCCGCTCTATCTGAAGATAAATACAAAAATGTCTTTGGGTGAGGATAAAAGAAAAAAAATGAATAGAGAAAACAAATGAGATAGATTTGCACATTTAATTTCTAAAGACCTTTTCTGGATAAAGGAGACACACACACCGCCTGAACACCATACTTGTGAGTCACATGAACTCAACCGTGACGAGACTGTCTTTCCAACTGACCTCCTCCCCACACACCCCCCTCTCCCGGTTCTTTCTCGGCGAGACGGGGGTGACAGCAGCACCTGTGGGCCGTGGTAAGGATCACACCAATCGCTGCACACCAATCAGCCCGTCTCCCAGCCCCACCCCCCGACCTGCTCTCCAGGAGAACGCCGTGCCCTCCTCGCCGTGCCCTCCTCGCCGTGGGAGGCGCCCGCTCCACCCGCCAGGCCCAGCAGGAACTCGAGCTCCAGTCCCTGGGTCAGCGGCCAGAGCAGGAGTCCCACTTCAGTGGCTGAGCTAAGAGCAGGCCCGCCCTGCCCCACCAGCGGCAGCAGCTGCACCTCTGAGCGAGGGCGCGGTGCCCCCCAACAGGAGAGCGCCGCGTCGGAGGGGAATGCTCCCCGCCAGTGGCAAACTGGAAAGCCTCGTGGTCACCGCCCTGCTCTGGGCTGACTCCACTCGTCCTCCCCACGTGGAGCCTCCCCTGGCTCTAACTAGGAGTCGCGGAGGCTGCCGATGGCTGGGAAGCAGAGACCTGCTCAGCCGATCAGACATGGGTGCTACCTTTCACTTCATTCTGGCTTTCTTCTCTTTTTCTTTCCAGTTCTTTTCGGTCATAATTTAACCTTCGCAGGCACATAATTCCGCACTGGAAACTGTTTCTATTTGTTAAAAAAAAAAAGATAAGAATACACATTTTAAAAAGGAATAGAAACGTCAAGTGAAGTCTCAGGCGACCGGCCAGACCGGGCCGCTCACCGGTGGAAGCTGTCCACCATCTTCAGCTGCCCCCGCAGGTCCTTCTTGGTGAGGTGGTCCAGCATGCGCGCGTCCACCAGGCACTCCATGAAGTAGCTGCGGTACTGGGGCAGCCCCAGGCTGGGCAGCCACTCGTTGCCAATCCACTCGTGGTTCATGTCCCCGTAGGCCAGCGTCTGCTTTCAAGAAGTGAGGGTGATCAGTTCAGAGAGGGGCCAGGAAGAGGGCACAGAGCAGTTTAAATAATCTTCAAACTGGATGTTGAGCCTATGACATATTCACAAAGGCTCAACTAAGTTTCTTCTTTATAATTTCAAAGTAAACAGCTCTCCTATTAACTACCTTTTGAATTTGTTAGTAAAACTTTACACAAAAGGAATTACACTGTTAAAAATCTATGACTCATTTGTATTTATAAATTTAATCTATTTAGCAAACCACAACAGAACTGTAACTGACCACATGTATCTCTCTGGAACATGTTTTATGTATAACAACACAACACCAAAGAATGACCACGACTCATGAACAAGTTTGAAGGATCAATCCAACAGTACTCATTAAATAGATCTCCACTGGTTTTAATTTTAACACCTTGTTTTCTAAATTTCCTTAAAACATCTGTTAATTCCAAAACCAGTTTAAAAAGGGAATGAAAATAGTTTTAAAAGAAGAGATAGCCCAGCCGGCGTGGCTCAGTGAATGGAGCATCGTCCCATGGACTGAGAATCCCAGTGTGATTCCTGGTCAGGGCACATGCCCGGGTTGCGGGCTCGATCCCCGGTTTGGGGGAGTGCAGGAGGCAGCCGATTGATGCATCTCTTGCATTGATGTTTCTCTCTCTCTCTCTAAAAAATCAATAAAAACATATTTTAAAAACTTTTTTTTAAATAAATAAAGAGATAAAAGCAAGAACGGACAGGACTGAAAGAAGAAACAGACAAGCACAGGTCTAGTAGGAAGACCCAGCCTCCTCCTAAGTAGTTCGTAACTGAGTAAGGAAGCCCACCCACCCACCCCTCAGTAAGCAAGTAGAAGCCTCCACAACACCACCAAGCCCACTGACCTATGGACACTTCATAGAACTCTCCGCAGCTACAGGTGCACATGGAACATTCTCTCAGACAGACAAATCTCAATATATATACACATAGAGAAAGAAAGAAATACAGATCATGTTCTCTGACCTCAAAAGAATTATTAGAAATCAAATTAAATTAAAAATAAAAAGGTATCTGAAAAACTCCTAAATATTTGGAAATCAGCATACTTCTAATAACCCACGAGTCAAAGAAGAAATCAAAAGAGAAATGAGAAAATATGTTGAATCAGCCCTGGCCGATTTGGCTCAACGGTTAGAGCGTCGACCTGCGGTCCAGAGAGACCCGGGTTCAGTTCCCACTAAGGGCATGTGCCTCAGTTGCAGTTTGTCCCCGGCCCTGGTTGGTCGTGCGGGTGGCAACCACTCGATGTGTCCCTTTCATGTTGATGTTTCTCTCTCTCTTCCTCCCGCTCTATCTGAACAAAAAATGGAAAAATGTCCTTGGGTGAGGATAAAAAAAAAAATACACTGAATTGAATGAATGAAAACACAATATATTAAGAAACTGTGGGACACAGCTAAAGCAGAGCCTTGAGGGAAATTTATAGTATTAGATACTTAAGATATAATTGAAGAAAGATCACAAATCAATAATGTAAGACTCTACCTTAAAAATCAACAAATGAAATCTACAGTAAGCAGAAGGAAGAATGTAAAAGTGAAAATCAATGAAACAGAAACCAGAAAAATAACTGAAAATTAAACTAAAATCTGGCTCTCCATAACTATCAGTAAAATGGTCTAATCCTTCACCAGTGTAACCCAGAAAGGAGAAAACACGTCACCAATATCCAGAATGAAAGGGGGTGTAGGCATGCACCCCACAGACACTGTGAGGACAGTCAGGGAAAACTGGGAGCGACTTGAAGCAACTGAGATGAATGACATAGCCAACTGCTTAAGACAATCTACAAAAGCCACTGAGTAGGAAACTTGTGACGTGTATCTATTATAACTTGAATTTATAGTTACAGACCTTCTCACACACAAATCTCTGCCCTCAATGGCTTTACAGGTGAATCCTACCAAATATTTGCGAAAAAATAGCAATTCTACAAAAACTATTCCAAAAAAGTGAAGAAGAAATGCCTAATTCATTCTATGAGGCCAGCATTGTCCTGATACCAAAATCAGAAAAATGTACGACAGGAAAACTGCAGACCAATATCCCTCATAGACACGGATGCAAGACTCCTGACAAAATACTAGCAAGTCAAATCAATAATATATTAAGAGAATAACGTGACCAGTGACATTTCTTTCAGGAACTTAAGGTTGGGTCGACATTTATAATCAATGGAATTCACCGTATGGGTGGGCCGGAGAGGAAAGCACATCACCCTGGAAGATGAGGAAAGGCGCACGCAGCACGCGCAGGCCTGAGCCCTCGCAGACAGAGCCCGTCTCGCCGACACGGCACATCTCCCAGATGCACAGAGCCCACCCCGACGGGGAAAGCCCGCGCGTCCCCACGTCGGGACAGTCAGGATGTCTTGCGCAGTGCTGGGCTGTGCTCCCAGCCACTGCAACAAGGCAAGAGGAGAAGCCAGGACACACGACTGGTGAAGAAAAACTGTCTGACCTGACTAACAACACAGAAAACAACCTACAGAACACACCTCAGCTGAAGTGAGTTTGGCCAAGTCGTGGGATACAAGGTTGCATATGGAAATGACTGTGTCCACATACTAGCAATGAATTGGAAGCTCAAATTTTAAAATACCATTTACAATGCCATGAAAAACCACAAACGCCTTAGGGATGCGTCTAGCAGGACATGTGAAGGTCTGCACAAGAAGAAAGCAGCACGCGTGTGCATGCGTGTGCACACATGGAAGACGGGCCCTGGTGTTCTTCAGTCTACGGAGACCAAGCCCCAGCCCCAGGAATTCTGCACATTATGGGATCCCGGCAGAGAGCAAACTCTACCCACCACCATGTCGTCTTGAAAATACGGTCTCTAACCTCATTTATGATTTATGCCAGCCAGGCGGAAGGAGTGACTCCGATTCTAACAGGAAAGAAGTGTCCTTGTTGCTCTGCACCATGAGCGAGAACCGGGCTGGGACATCGCACACCACATGCCTTTTCGGTCTCTGACTCCCACCTCGCAGGTTCTCACAGCATGAACGTGCGGCCCGTGTTCTTGCTGGCTGACTATGGAGTCTTCAGCCACACAAAATGCAGAGATTTCTGAACAGAGAAGCCCATGGGAGCAGGACCCTCCTTACTGTGTCTGCTCACTCTAGCCTCTAGTCACACTTCCTGTGGTCAGCAGGAGCTCCGAGGAGGGCCAGGCTCCTCCCAGGGAGACCCAGCACCCCGGCTGCCATCACAGGCTTCTGAGAAAAGCAGCAACAGGGCTCCCTGTGTCAGAGAACATGTGGACGACGAGAGGCAGCCACAGCACGGTCTATTTTCCCATTGTTGGAATCACCACGGATTCAGCCCAGGTGTTCTAACTCTGTACAATCCGGGTGCGGGGAGGGCCCCGCTGCCCTGTCCAGGCTGTGTTCCTGGCAAGCAGTCTGTGGGCACACACTGCTGCTACCCGTCAAATGAAGTGTCATGGCTTTGACCGCACCTTGATGTGTTCTTCCCCCAGTGCCCAAGGGCACCTCAAAGTGCCCCCCAGCTTCAGAGCTGAATGCTGTGGGGCAGTGTGGGGAGGGCACTGAACAAGTCCTGCACCTGGCATTTCACAGACCCCGGGGGCCTCACCTGCTGCTCATCTAGAAGCCAAAAGCCCTTGCTCGCGCCAAGACCGAGTGCTGGCTAACTCTGCATCTCTGGCACGGCTCACCCTCACTCACATTTGATGGCAAAGAGCACACGTGCAGCTTCATTTACGCGCTGTGCCTCTGATGCAGGCATTTCCCGCGGACGTGCGGCAAAGCTCTGCTTGCTGGTGTGGGCACACTGAGCTCTGGCTGGGACGCACCCCGTGGCCCCAGCGCTCACCGCTGACCTGTGCAGAGGCAGCTAGCTAGCTTAAACCATCAGTAGAAACGCTGACCTGGAGGATCAGCACATAAATGGGGGGAGAGCGCTCAGAGAACCTCATTACAGCTTCCTCCCCTCTTTCATTAAGAAAGGTGGTATAACTGGCTTCACTTTAAGAGTAAACGGAGGGAAACAGGTATTTCAACCACCAACTCCTGACCAGGAAAAGTGATTTAAGACTGCTTCCGGTGTGAGCACCTGAGGCCTGCCCACAGCTGGACCCCGGGCGCCTGCCACGCACAGCCACATGCAGCTGGTGGACTCGCGGGTCGAAAGGCTGCACGGCCCCCTGACAGAGTTTCTCAGAGGCTGGACTTCTGGGGCCCGTTAGGAGGGAGGCTTCTACTCAGACGACACTAGGAGAGCGCTCAGTGAGCCCGACCCAGGCTCAGCGGGGTCTCCGTTGGAAATGTATTCAAACACGTTTTCCCATCCACAGATCTTGTAATTCAAGTTACCCTACGAGGGACTGAAATATATAAGGGGCTGCTAAATCCAGACTGTGTGAAAGAGCGGTCTGTGTCCATGAGAGAGAACCACCACGGCTCACTAGAGAAATGCTGAGAAATGTTCAAAATTGTCCATGAGCCGTGTTCTTCGCACTCTTACATCCTACACTTTGCTTTGACTGATGCTTTCAAAGCATAACAACGTTCAGAATAAATTAAGAGGTTAAAAATGTCAAGAAAGATAAGTTACGAGTTTTCATACTCAATTCTTTTTGTTGCTGTACATAGAGTGAAGAATAGGTTATAAAAGTCTCCAACCTGAGCCCAGCTGCCCTCCTCATCCTCCTGGTGTTACGTGGTTAGGGATGCAAAAGAACACACAGCCGTTAGTACGTGAGCTCAGGACACGGGGTGACCCGGCAGGCGGTGCACGTCGCCGAGGGACAGGTCAGACCCACAGGCACATGCAACCCATGCACGCCCCACACCCCGCCTCGCGTGCAAGGAGCAGGCACCCACGGCCGGCACGCCCACGAGGGGGAACCAGGCCGGACCTTCACAGTGGGGGCTAACGTGAGGTCTCTCCTCAAGAAGAGAATTCAATCTATTCTAAATAAAGCCAATCTACCAACTTTAATTTCATAAAAAAAAAAAAAAAATCTAAAAGAAGATAAAATAGGAATTCTATTGCACAGTTAACTAATACCTAAAAGAAATGCTGTCCGGAACAATTTACTGTGGCATGGCATTGTCTTCCCGCCCTGAACGGGAATGCCCGAGGCAGACGAGCTCGGGCCAGGACTGACCGTTTGTGGCGTGGCTGTGAGTGTCTCCATCTCTTCGTGCGTTAACCAGACATTTCCCGTGCTCTAGGGTGACCCCAGTGACCAAGCACATCCAGGACAAGGGAGCAGTGACAAAGAGGAAAGGTGGCAGACACGTGAGCCACAGGTATTTCAAAGGAGCAGGTGGACGCAAAGGTCCACACAGAAAATGACACATGGACATCAGCTCGCCCCTTTGCAGAGTAACCACACCTCATTAACACTGTTATCAACAGCACAAGGCGAGCCACCAGGTATGTTTGCCAAGCTTGCCACCTGAGTTATGTGGCAGACACGGAGAGGAAGCATCTGTGCCTCTGAGGATGGTGACTAACTCAGCAGCTGTCACTCGATACATCCAGTGGGTCTCACCCACACAGAGACACCGGGCACTGCACAAAGCCTGCTTTGGCTGTGGGACGCCGGTTCGGCAGGTGCCCCATGGGTGGGCCTCTTGGCCCGCGGCCTCGCCCGGGGAACCAAGGAGGAAGGGGGCAGGGCTGCAGCCTGGTCTGAGGCAGGGCCTCCCGAGGTGAGGGGTGCTCTTCATCCGCTCACCCAGACGCTGCCTCTATCCCACTTGATGGCAGCGCTGGGAAGCCGCAGCACCTTCACTTCTAGAAAGGCCACTCTGAGGAGACTGACGATGCCCCGCTGGGCAAGGGCGTCTGGGCAGGAGTGAGACACTGGAGTGCTGTCCACTGCAAACCTTCCCTGCGCCACACGGGGACCTCACGCTCCTGACCCTCCCGGTGCGGAGCGGGGCTGGCCTGCACCCAGACATGCGCGTCTGCGAGGCTGCGGCGCTCGAATAGGCTTTGTCTCCAGAGACCCAGAGCAGAGCCAGGGCCCCGGCCAGGGACGAGGGCACGTACCTCCCAGGTTCCGCTCCTGTGTGCACTGGGCGCACTTGAACTTTCGACCAGAACCCTTTCTAAGGGTCCTGACTCCCGTGCGGCGGGAACTGTCCTGCAGACAGGGCGGGCATGCCTACTGCTTCCGGCTGCTTCCCCGCGTGCTCAGGGCTCGGCCCCACCCACAGACCCAATGAGTCAGCAGAGAAAACACTGCTTATAACGTAACTGGGGATCTAAGCTTTTCCCCCTTCTCTTTTCATGAATTCACATTTAAACGTGCTCCTTACTTTTCTACACTCCCAACTCCTACTTCTGTAGGACAAAGCCACTGCGGCCCTGTGCTCTGAAAGCCTTTACCAAAGCTGCTCTCAGCCACCCAGCGTCCCACATTAGCTGCGCCTTACATGGAGCACCTGGCGTGTCTCTAGGGACCTGGGGCCTGACACGTACCGTCCTGGACGTGGGCGGGGCCGACGGGCTGGTCAGGGACATGATCTCCTGGATGGCCAGCCGCAGCTTCAGCCGGTGCAGAGGGTTGCTGATGCCGATCTCCCGCTGGATCTCCGTGTCCGACAGGGCTGACATGATGGCCCCGCTCTTCACATTGGCTCGGCACGCGGCCACGTACCAGGCCGGCATCCCCACCCAGAGCTGAGAGACAGGCGGTCAAGGTGGGGTCAGGCTCAGAGCAGGACATGAGTCACACGCTCACATGTGCAACACCCTCAAACCCGGACCAGGAGATGTACCTCCAGCCAGACGACGACGGTTGGCCCGTCCCATTGTGCAAAGGGTAAGCCTTGTCTCCGGGCTTCCTCGAGCACCTCGTGCCTGCAAACAAGACTCAGAATTAGAGCCTGGTACCCACACAGAGCACGCGGACAGCTCCCTCCACAGCCCCCCAACCCTGCGGTACCCACACAGAGCACGCGGACAGCTCTCTCCACAGCCCCCAACCCTGCGGTACCCACACAGAGCACGCGGACAGCTCTCTCCACAGCCCCCAACCCTGCGGTACCCACACAGAGCACGCGGACAGCTCTCTCCACAGCCCCCAACCCTGCGGTACCCACACAGAGCACGCGGACAGCTCTCTCCACAGCCCCCAACCCTGCGGTACCCACACAGAGCACGCGGACAGCTCTCTCCACAGCCCCCCAAGCCCTGCGGTACCCACACAGAGCACGCGGACAGCTCTCTCCACAGCCCCCAAGCCCTGCGGTACCCACACAGAGCACGCGGACAGCTCTCTCCACAGCCCCCCAAGCCCTGCGGTACCCACACAGAGCACGCGGACAGCTCTCTCCACAGCCCCCCAACCCTGCGGTACCCACACAGAGCACGCGGACAGCTCTCTCCACAGCCCCCCAAGCCCTGCGGTACCCACACAGAGCACGCGGACAGCTCTCTCCACAGCCCCCAAGCCCTGCGGTACCCACACAGAGCACGCGGACAGCTCTCTCCACAGCCCCCCAAGCCCTGCGGTACCCACACAGAGCACGCGCACAGCTCTCTCCACAGCCCCCCAAGCCCTGCGGTACCTACACAGAGCACGCGCACAGCTCTCTCCACAGCCCCCAACCCTGCGGTACCTACACAGAGCACGCGCACAGCTCTCTCCACAGCCCCCAACCCTGCGGTACCCACACAGAGCACGCGGACAGCTCTCTCCACAGCCCCCAACCCTGCGGTACCTACACAGAGCACGCGGACAGCTCTCTCCACAGCCCCCAACCCTGCGGTACCCACACAGAGCACGCGGACAGCTCTCTCCACAGCCCCCCAAGTGTGAGGGCACACATCTCATCATGCCCTCTGACCTCCCACACTGTCCAGTCATTGCTGGTTGGCTACAAACTACAGAGAATGCAGGAAGGACGAGACTTGGACTGACCCCACCATCTCCGTAGAACCATCTCCTTACAGAATTAAGAATTACTACCAACTCCGGACAAGCCAGCCGCCTTCATATCCGAGGTCAGGCATTCAAGGGAAACACAGCCACGCTCCCCTGAGCACCGAGGAGACAAGACTCCCGCAGGAAGAGGAAAGACAGCTGGTCTGAGCCAAGGAGGCTGCCTCTGGGCAGCTCAACACCACGAAGCACAAAGCGACCCTGGCAACGGGCCGGCACAGCAACGGTGGAGGTGGGTGTGTCCACCCCATACTGCCATCGAGCTAACAACGTGTCTGCAGAAGGACGACACTGGCCCCTGTGGTTCGCCCACGGGCTCCATGCCCAGACACTTCACGCCCACCACCACCCGCACACCCAGGGCGGCTGCCTGGGAGGTAGACGCATGAGCTCCACAGGCAGAGCAGGGCAGCCCTGGGCGCCGACGGCATCGGAAGGGCTCTGCGGCCTGATGTCAACCCTTAACCCCAAGTTCACCACATTCACATCTTTTTTTTTTTTATCCTCAGCTGAGGACATTTTTTCGTTTTTTGTTCAGATAGAGTGAGAGAGAGAGAGAAACATCGACGTGAAAGGGACACATCGAGTGGCTGCCACCCACACGACCCAACCAGGGCCGGGGACAAACTGCAACCGAGGTACGTGCCCTTAGCGGGAACCGAACCCGGGTCTCTGGGGACCGCAGGCCGACGCTCTAACCGCTGAGCCACACCAGCCAGGGCCACATTCACATCTTTAAAAGTGATTCTGTCTCCCTGGCCAGTGTGGCTCAGTTGGCTGGAGCATCATCCCATGAACCGGAGGTCGTGGGTTTGATTCCTAGTCAGGGAATCTCGAGAGAGAGAGAGATTTTTGTCCTGGCTGGTTTTGCTCAGTGGTTAGAGTATCAGTCTGCAGGTTCAATTATCGGTCAGGGGCACGCACCAGGATTGCTGGCTCATGCCCAGCCCATCGGGATCGTGTGGGAGGCAGCCAATCAATGTGTCTCTCTCACATCCATGTTCCTTTCTCTCTCTCCCTCCCTCCCTCCCGCTCTATGTGAAAACAGTCAATGGGAAAATATCCTCAAGTAAGGATTTAAAAAAAGAAGAGATTTTGTCTACTGATAACACAGTCAGGTAAAACATAACCGGTGTGAAAGCCGAGGAGAGAAGAGGGGCTGGGCGAGGGGACAGGTCCACCCCCCGTGTGCCTGGACGTCCCGGGTCACTGTGACTTCCTAGGTCACTTTCAGGACAGCCCCCCCCCCCCCCCCATGTGCCTGGATGTCCCGGGTCACTGTGACTTCCTAGGTCACTTTCAGGACAGGCCCCCCCGCCCCCCCCATGTGCCTGGATGTCCCAGGTCACTCTAACTTCCTAGGTCGCTTTCAGGCAGTGACTTCCTGCCATGATCTCTGCAGGACACACCGCTGAGTGTCTCGCTTCTAGACAAATATTAGATCTTTGATATATTTAATAGCATTAGACTCCTCATGAGACAGTGAGGTCTATGTACAATTAGATTCCACAATATTTCACATAAAATTTCAAGAAAGTTTTTCTTAAGTCAACCTTGGGTTTCCTGGGAATAATAAATTTTGTAATTACCTGCCGCCATGACCCCGGAGCCTGGACACTCAGTCATGGCGACGTCCCTGAGCTGGGAGCTGGGAGCTGAGGGCCGATGCACCGACCTGAACACCCCAACTACAGACACCTACCAACCACAACACGCGCACACATGTGCACATGCACGCACGTGCAAACGCACGCACACATGTCCAAGTGAGCGATGGAATCACACGCTGAGGCACAGCACAATAAAGGCTGTCCTCATACGGCCAAGTGACCAGGCACCCCTGCTGAGAACGACCATCATTTAGAAACCACAATGAGACACTCTGGCCAGTTTATATAGTTTGGGATCCTCCATGAACATCAACTTCTGGGAGCAGGAGGACCAAGCCGCACCACCGCAACCCGACAGCTCTGACCCCAGGCGACTGAGAATGGGAAACGAACACATCACTGAAGCCAAGGGACACCCTGGTGAGGCTCCAGGAGCGAAGGGCCCGAGCCGCTCGCCAGCCTTCACTCCGTCCAGAGCACCGGCTTCTCGGCAGCTGCTGCTGCTCAGTGCTGTCCGCAAACGTCCGTCGACCATCCCTGCGGCACTGTGAGCAGTAACGGAAACACGGCATGCCACCTGCAATGCCATCACTAGTGTGCCAGCCACGATGACCGTTACCACGGCTTCTGAGAGGAGAACTCAAATGGGGCAAATTTCACACAAAAAAGTCAACTGGCAAGTCCAGGGGCTAATGGCAAAGGGCCTCAGCGGAAGGGTGTCCTGGCTCAAGGGCGACCGTGGGGCCAGTGCTGGGGTGTTGGCTTCTCAGCGGCCAGATTCGCCACAGACCCCGCCGCGCTTCACCCTGGCCATCTCAGCACCTCTCGGACAGAATTCCTCCCACTCTCGAGGGGTCCACGCTCACCTCTCAGCCCACAAACTGCAGCTCTCACCACAGGAAGGGTTTGGCCTCACTGCTCAGCTCGCTGGGACCGTCTCAGCCCACGAGCTCATCTGCGCACCTCTGGGTTAGACCCGAGAGCGGTGTGCCGCGGACCCCTCCTGCCTCGCTGTGGGGTCACGGTGCCTGGGCTCCTCTGCAGAGAGCTATTCCCACTGTTACTCACTTTCACAATCAAAATGTAACAAGTAGACTATAAAACAGAATCTATGTAAGACTTATAAAAACAAAATCTGGCCCTAGTTGGCGTGGCTAAGTTGGCTGAGGGCCGTTCTACGTGCTGGAAGGTTGCAGGTTCAGCCCCCAATCGGGTGGGTACATCCAATTGATGTTTCTCTCTCCCTCTCCCATCTTCCTGCCCTAAAATCAATAAAAATATATTTTAAAAAACCTGGAGCAGATAAAAGGGCAAATGGCACACTCCCTGCCAGGCGGCCGGTGTGTCCCCGCAGTGCCATGCACAGGGAGAGCTGCCCGCCCTGTCCCCGCAGTGTCGCGCACAGGGAGAGCTGCCCTCTGTGTCCCCCCGCAGTGTCGCGCACAGGGAGAGCTGCCCGCCCTGTCCCCGCAGTGCCGCGCACAGGGAGAGCTGCCCGCCTTGTCCCCGCAGTGCCGCGCACAGGGAGAGCTGTCCGCACTGTCCCCGCAGTGCCGCGCACAGGGAGAGCTGTCCGCCCTGTCCCCGGAGTGCCACGCACAGGGAGAGCTGTCCGCACTGTCCCTGGAGTGCCACGCACAGGGAGAGCTGCCTGCCCTGTCCCCGCAGTGCCGCGCACAGGGAGAGCTGTCCGCACTGTCCCCGGAGTGCCGCGCACAGGGAGAGCTGTCCGCACTGTCCCTGGAGTGCCACGCACAGGGAGAGCTGCCTGCCCTGTCCCCGCAGTGCCGCGCACAGGGAGAGCTGTCCGCACTGTCCCTGGAGTGCCACGCACAGGGAGAGCTGCCTGCCCTGTCCCCGCAGTGCCGCGCACAGGGAGAGCTGCCCGCCCTGTTCCCGCAGTGCCGCGCACAGGGAGAGCAGCCCTCTGTGTCCCCCCGCAGTGCCGCGCACAGGGAGAGCTGTCCGCACTGTCCCCACAGTGCCACGCACAGGGAGAGCAGCCCTCTGTGTCCCCCCGCAGTGCCGCGCACAGGGAGAGCTGTCCGCACTGTCCCCGCAGTGCCGCGCACAGGGAGAGCTGCCCACCACGTCCCTGCGCACAAGGCGGACTATGCGGCTGGCACTCACAGCCCGTGGGGCGTGTGCTCGGCTCCCTGATGCCCAGCACTGATCCGTGTGGGCAGACTCAGAGTCAGGCGCTGAGGCCCAGCCCACGGAGCCACAGCACAGCCCCCTCGACAACTTCCTAGGGTGAACGGGGATCCCTGCGGGAGTCCGTTGAACATTCCATACAAACGTGCAGTTCAATGAAGACTTCGGTTAATCCTTACAAGACAATACATACACAGAGCTAGATAATACACTTAATAAACATTGGACAGGAATCAGGCACGACCAAAACCCACTCAGTAAGCTGGACACAGACGCAAACACTCACTTCTTCTGAAGCCTGCGATTCTTCTCGGCCTGTCCTCCCAGCTTGCTGAGCCCCGGGGCCTCTGGGGACGGGCTCTCTGCCTCTGAGGCGCCAGCTACGAGGAGAAGCAGCGGGGCGGTGAGCGGGGCACAGGGCTCGCGGGGCGGCCCCCACACAGCCGCTCTGGGACGTCATGGAGACGCTCGGAGTCGGCCGCGAACACCCGCGACAGGCTGGCGCTCAGGGCAAGGGGCGTGGCGTGGCTCGCTGGCCTGTGCCGTGGCCTGGCCGTGCCCTGGAGAGCTGGAGAGCACCCCGCTGGCGTGGCAGAGCCCAGGCAAGGCCGGCGCAGCAGGCACACGGCGGCCCCGCCTGGCAGCGGGCAGCGTGTGGGAGCACTGACCTGGTCCCGGCGCCTCCTTGCCGATGTGCCCTGGGCGCATCTTCTCCTTCTTGCCAAATAAGCGGCCGATGGAGGACTTGATGCCCTTCTTCTTGGGGGCTTTGTGGAGCGAGTCCTGGCTACTGTTGCTGCTGCTGGGGTTGCTCACCGGCCCATCCTGGGAGCCTGTCGAGCTTTAGGGACAGAAAAGGACCTTTAGTTAAGTGTTCTTGAACTAGAACTCTCCCCCTTTTTAATACCTGTTCTCAAACTTCTCAACAAACACTCGTCTCTTCCACAACATCTACTTCACAAGACTCCTACGTGTAGGAAACAGGGCCCCAGGGCCCCGAGGGAGAACTGTGTCCAGAAGGCGGAAGTTCTCGGGCTGGGAGTCTCCTTCCCAGGAAGGCTGGGAGCCACCCCAGGTCACCTCTCAGCAGGAGTGCCCCCGCCCCCACTCTGCACAGCCCCGGGCCTGAGAGGAGCAGGGAACCGGCGGCAGGCCGTCGCCGGTCCTGGGGGCAGGCACCGGGAAGGAGAACGACAGGGAGGCCCCGCAGTCTCGAAGCACAGGCACCTGAGAGCCGCCGACGGTCCACAGGGAGGTGACCACCACCAACGTGCCATGTGCGGGACAAATGCTCCCGCGAGAAAAGTTCTTGAAACGGGCGACTGGAGGAGTCTGAAGAAGGGGTTCCCTAAAACGGCAGGTCTCACGTGACCCCGTCTCCCCACATGGCTCTGCCAGACCTGCACCTGTGGCTGACGTCACAGCAACCCCAGGACACCCCTAGCATCCGGAGCACCGCTTACGAAACACAACGGAACCACAGTATTTCTTTAAAATCATAGTTCTGACATTTTAAAAAAAACAACCCTGGCTGGTTTGGCTCGGCGGTTAGAGCTTCACCCCGAGGACCAGAGAGTCTTGGCTTCGATTCTAGTCGGGCATACACCTCGACTGCAGTTCCTCGGCCCTGGTTGGGGTCGTGCGGGAGGCAACCAATTGATGTCTCTCTGTCTCTCTCTCTCCCCCTCCCACTGCCTGAAGATAAATGGAAAAATATTCTCAGGTGAGGATTAGAAAAACACATTAATAGCTTTCTCATCCCTGAAAACCACAGACAGCATGTCCCCGCTCTTACTTCCTGAGGTCCCTGAGGTCCTCGTGGCTGACCGTGTGCAGGGCTCCTCTGTGCGTCCTGTCCACACGCAGGGACCTCGGGGAAGGCGGCGGGGAGGTTTCACATTTGATGGTCGTCTTGTCGTCTCGTACCTCTTCTCGGGAAGCTGGCAACTGAGGGTGGAGATCAGTGTAAACTAGTTAGCAAAAGACGTGACCAAAAAAGTCACACCGGCTCTAAGTGACAGTCGTGAGCTCATCTGAAACGCTGCCGGCGATGCTCCTGCCGCGTACACAGCCCTCCCTCGGGCCGCCGCCGCCACAGAGGACAGTCGTTCAGGACGCGCCGGACGCCCGCTCCCGGGCCCCGAGCTCCACGCAGCCTGCGGGCTGTCCCGCCGAGAGTCCCGGCACACCGGGGCGGCAGAGACTCGACCCACTACAGACCAGGCGGCATCTGCTCTCCGAGGGGTCTGGGAGACTCTGTACATGCGATGCCGTTCCAAAGAAGTGCCAGCGAAGGCAGAAACCTCTCAGGCCAAATGCCCAAACCTTCCTGTTTGGGGGTGGGGGATGGGGAGGAAGAGCTGGTACCACGGCCAACGCCATCCTTAATGATATGCAGACTAGAGGACTCAGTAACAAGTCCCAACAGAGACAAGGGAGCTCACCCTCCGCCCCGACACGCAGCCGGGCTCCGGGAATCACAAGGGAAACAGCACACGAGGGAAGGACAGGTGAACCGCAACGCGTCACTCCAGCTTCGAAGGCGCAGTGGCGGGTTCCCGCTGCAGATGCTCTCGGTTTGCGGGAATGTGGCGTGGGAAGTAGGGCGGGGGGACGGCATGGGGAGCAGAGGAGCCCTCGGGCCCTTACGCATTTGGGTTCAGGGGCAGGGCAGGGTGGACTCTGAACCGGTCCTAACAAGCACCTGTGTGCACAATGAGGCCTGAGCAGCCAACTCAGGCCCTTCTTAAGATGACACTGGGTACAGACGATCGGTCCTGTGTCCCCACACTGGCTCAGTGACAACCAAGTGGATAACTGCAGAACGGAGCTGAACTCAGCAAAGCTGGACAATTCTGCACCCTCTCCTGACTGCCAGCCATCGTCAGACAACAGGCTACAATGGCTGAAAGTGTCCACGAGGAACATAGGGGCAGGTTAAAACGATGACTTGTGGGAAAGCAACAACAAAGAGCAGGGCAGGGAGTGGCCCTGTCTGGATCGACCACACTTATGGAGACCGACTACCCCAGCAAGGCTGCTCCTGGACCACAGCCTGCAGCAGAGGGCCCTGCTGGGGTGTCCTCGCCCCGCCTGGCCTGCCAGCCCTCCTTCTCTGGGCCACAGCCTGCAGCACGAGGGCCCTGCTGGGGTGTCCTCGCCCCGCCTGGCCTGCCACCCTCTCCCTCTGGGCCCCACAGCCTGCAGCACGAGGGCCCTGCAGGGGTGTCCTCGCCCCGCCTGGCCTGCCAGCCCTCTCCCTCTGGGCCCCACAGCCTGCAGCACGAGGGCCCTGCAGGGGTGTCCTCGCCCCGCCTGGCCTGCCAGCCCTCTCCCTCTGGGCCACAGCCTGCAGCACGAGGGCCCTGCTGGGGTGTCCTCGCCCCGCCTGGCCTGTCACCCTCTCCCTCTGGGCCCCACAGCCTGCAGCACGAGGGCCCTGCTGGGGGATCCTCGCCCCGCCTGGCCTGCCAGCCCTCTCCCTCTGGGCCCCACAGCCTGCAGCACGAGGGCCCTGCTGGGGTGTCCTCGCTCCGCCTGGCCTGCCAGCCCTCTCCCTCTGGGCCCTAGAAGGTGCACCCCACGTGGGACTTGAGCCCACCCGGGACTAGAGTCTACGTGCCATTTCAGACCCAACTAGAAGGGGAGGCTCCATGGAGCTGGGCAGTGTCTGAGCATACCCCAGGGTGCTGGGGAGGAGGGGTGACGCTGCGTACACACTGGCCTGTGTGCACGGCGCTAGGCCCTGTGCAGACACAGCTGGTCACACCCTCACAACCACCCCAGGGCAGGCTCTCAGAAGAGCCACTCGCCACTCAGCAAATGCAAGTTCCCACGAGCAAGGCTGCCCTGAGCGAACACAGACCCACGACTCCCCTCCCTGGGAGGGCTTGCCAACAAATACACGCAAGCACAAGCTAGCAGGCTGGGGGTGTGCTCTGTGCCTGCGATGGCGCAAGCACCTTGTCAACTGTGGCTGTGCACAGACAGGCCCAGGCTACGGCCACCCGAGGGCAGGATTTCCATCCCTGTCTTCACCTCACAGGAGAGCCAAGCAGGGCACCAAGAGGGCAGGAGCCCAGCCAGGCCACACCACTCAGGGCAGAGCTGGAGTTCACCCCAGGGGGTCAGTAAATCGCCACACTGCTCTGTGCAGGGCAGGGACTCACCCACACTGACCACCCGACAGGCTAGCCCAAGTGCGGAACAGACAGATTTGGGAGATGCACAGACTGGGCCAGCGTGTGACAGTGACAAGGAACACGCTTCGGTCCCTCCCTCTGAGAACAGGGAGACCCAGCTCAGGGACACCTCTGCAGAGCAGAGGCCCTGACTGCGGCTGGGGTGCTGCAGAGGAGGAAGAGCACCTGGGGAACAGGCAGGCCGGAGGGGAGGTGGCTGTATCCAGGCTCTGAAACCAGAGAGCCACATTGCACTGGGTCCTGGGCACAGTGTGTGGCTGCTCCAAGCCTCAGTTTCCACATCTGTAAAAGGGGGTTAACAGCAGGACCCTGCATCTCACAGGGGTGCTCGTGAGGATCGGATAACAGATTAGCAAGCACGGAGCGCAGTGCTGGTCACAGCGAGAGTGTAGGAAGTGCTGCCAGCTCGGAGGACTGAAACGGGCTTTTCCCAAACCTGGTCTGCGGCTCTGCTTCAGTAACTCAAATACCACGGCTGCTATGAGCACGGGCACAGCGCCCGCGGGCAAAGGCACATCTGCCCAGCTGGGCAGCCAGTGCCCCCAAACCCGGCACCCACCCTCTGCGTAGGCACAGAGACAAAGAGCAAAGGAGTGTTAAGTTAAGTGAGGAAGGGTTACCTTTCTACGGTGCTTCCTTAGGTCACTAGGCTGACATGCAGGCAAAGAAATGGAGAGAAAGCAGATTACTGCACTCTGACGCGAGATTCGACCACGCAAATATATTACAAAGAGACACGACAATTACGAGTTAAGATTAAGAAAAAAATGTAACTGGAAATAGAATATTTTTTCATCAAAAATTTAAATATTTAAATATAAGTTATTTGAAATTTACTAGAGAAATACTGCAAATTACTCAGGAAAGGGAAATCCTATGACAACATGTAAGATGAATTATAATAAGACATTCTGTGTAACAAAGAGCCCCACAGTTGTCTAACCAGCTGATGAGGAAGTTAGCACAATACCTACTATAAGACTGAACTAACCTACCTTTAGCTAGTCAACTGTTGGACATCAATGTAAATCCTTGCCTGAAATTTAACTTAAAACTGTTCAAAAACAAACGTGTTGATGAGAGCAAGGAGCCCTCTGCAAACATGGAATAAAAGCTGTCGTAACAGCAGGTGGAATCTCACCTTCTGTAATTCAAGATGTTTTAATTAGAAAGACAGTCTAGCCCTGGCCAGTTTGCTCAGCGGTTAGAGCGTCGTTAACAAGTTTGATCCCCGGCCCCAGTTGGGGTCGTGCGGGAGGCGATCAATAGCTGTGTCTCTCTCACATCGATGTTTCTGTCTCTCTCCCTTCCTCCCTTCCATTCTATCTAAAAATTAATAGAAAAACATCCTCCGTGAGGATTAACAAACGAAAAAAGAGTCTGTTAATGGATTAGTTGTGCATGTTCAGTAAGCTCATGAGGCCCACGGTGACAACCAGACGTGTACTCTCTGTGCCGAGACTGCATCAACCCTGCACTTGGTGGATTGTCTCTGTACCTGTAGGGGAACAGCTCCTGCACGGAGCACACACGTCCTACAGTCTTGAGTACAACGGCTGGGACCCCACATCATGCCTGCACCCACATCCAGTACATGGGGACACACTGACGTGCCGCTGAGGAGTGAGGAAAGGCAGAGCGCGCAGCAAGGAGCCAGGCTTGAACAGTCACCCTGCGGGCCGTGCCGCTGCCGTCTCCTGAGCCTGCGGGAGGGTGCTGCCGCGTGGGGCTGTGCGCAGTGGAAGGAGTGAACTGCAGGGTGGGGTCTAGGGGACGGAGGCCTGGATTCAAGTGGTCAAACAAACACAGGGCGACGCAGGAGGGCAGGGCCACTCAGCCGGCAGGCGGAACTACGCGAGCGGGGAGCACGGGACGTCTGCACGAGTCTCTGCAGGAGATAAGCAGAGCCCTGGCCGGTTCGGCTCGGCGGTTGGAGCATCGGCCCACGAACCAACGAGACCCGGGTTCGATTCTGGCCAAGGGCATGTACCCCGGTTGCGGTTCGGCCCCGGTCCTGCTCGGGTCGTGCAGGGGACAAACAGTTAATGTCTCTCTCTCTCTCTTCCTCCTAATCTGTCTAAAGATAAATGAAAAAATGTCCTGGGGTGAAGATATAAAAAAAAAAAAGAACAGAAACATGAAAACATAAGTGACATTGTCAGTTTGGAACAGCAGCTGATTAGCTGGCGATGTGAAGGACAGCGCGTGTCAGAACACCTCTGCGTGGGGTCACTTTGCCGCGTGGCTGCCGGCTGCCGGCGCAGCTGATTAGCTGGCGATGTGAAGGACAGCGCGTGTCAGAACACCTCTGCGCGGGGTCACTTTGCCGCGTGGCTGCCGGCTGCCGGCGCAGCTGATTAGCTGGCGATGTGAAGGACAGCGCGTGTCAGAACACCTCTGCGCGGGGTCACTTTGCCGCGTGGCTGCCGGCTGCCGGCGCAGCTGGAGGCGACCAGGGCGGGAGCAGCAGAGCGGCAGTGCGGCCACCCCGAGCACGTGGCCAGCGTGCAGCGGGGCAGCACCGGGGCCATGGAAGCATGGCTGAGGACCGGCCTGCTGCTTCCGACCGCGGGCCTGGACCCTCCATCAGGCCCCCCTAGCGCCGAGGAGACGGCACAGCTCTCGGCACACTTGTCTGTGTGCTGGGAGTCTGCCTGCATTGACTTTGCTTAACTGTCTGGTCCTAGAAAACCGAATGGTCCACCCTGCAGCTGCCCACACCCAAAGCTACATGATGAAACCTCTGGTGAGTTCGTGATGACGTGCGGAGTTGGCCTCCAAGCACTGACACTAATCTGTCACCGCACTGTTGTCAGATGATTGACCTGCTGGCTCTCAGAACCTGGGCCTCTAAGCACAACACACGCGAAACACCCGATTCCTTCCAGGCGCAGCTAAAGGCACATCCACAGTGTCTGAGACTGAGCTCGGTGGGTGGGAGTGTAGCAGGGAAAAGGCCAACACTTACCAGGGTCATGATGCCTAGTCTGTCCACTTCGCGAGCCGGACTGTGGGGGACGCGTCGTGGGGTGGACCGACCGCTGTTTGGAGGGGAGGAGCCCGGGAGCGAGGATGCAGGATACGGGGGAATGGAGCTCATTGATCTAAAACGACCAAGGTTGTCCAGGCTCCCGCTGCCAACGCGACTCTCGATCTCCTCGGCCCGCTGCTCGGCGCTCTCCTTCTCCTCCTGTATCAGCCTAGACAGACAGAGACAGGCCGTGCTCCCTCACAGCACCACGCGGCCCTGGTCCGCACCAGTGCTCCCCCCGCATCGTGGTGACGCCAGTTCCAGTAACAGCGGCTCGAACACGCACACTTCACCAGAAATGCTCTACTTTTGATTTTCCCAGTAGGCCCTACTCTAGAACCAAGTCATCTCCCGGCCTCACAGAGCTGCTTCTGCCCCTCAGTCTGATCCCTCCCCCGCCTCCAGCTCTGCCGGCTCCGCGGCTCTCGCCCAGCGCCGCGGGACGTGCGCCTCGGGCGCCGACCCTGCCCGCAGAGCAGAGCGGCACCACGACCCACTGCTTTTCAAAGGGGCATCAGGAACTCGGACACCACCAGAGTCAAGGGCCAATCCCCAAAGCAGGTAGGAGTTTCCAAATGTTTAAGTCTCTAGACTAAATGAAAACGTCCAACGGGTTTTCTAAGGCTGAACTAGGACAAAAGTATTACTCGTCTGAACTCCAGAGTCACGCCAACCATGCTGCCCTCACTTGGAATCAAGAGTGATGCTCTTTGCCTTAGTGAACAGTGGTGGGCACGTAACGTTCTTGCTACTTGACTGCAAGTAACTACTCTAGCATTAGAGCACACCACCCTTTCCGATCGCAGCTCTACGTACATGTCCTGGAAGTGCCTGTGTTACTGGTGAAAAGTCAATGGGTAGGATTCACCATTTGTATCAGGCCCCTTGCTGCATAAAGAAAAACCCTTTTTGCCGGACACACACGGGAAACCACCGAGGAGCAGACAGCCCTGCGCGTTTCCCCACGAGGGGAAGAGCGTGTTCTCTGCAGAAGCAGAACCGCAGGCAGCAGCTCCGCTCACCCACAGCCCACGGCTCTCACGTGGGCTCTCTGCAGGTGGGGGGGCACTTCTGCCGTGTCAGCTGCACGCGGACAAGACCTGGGCGGCCGCTCCGCCTGGATCCACGGCAGGCTTGGCACACGATGCGCTTCACGTGGCCTCAGGGCACCCTGGTCACACTGCTGTACCCAGCACCTGAGGTCTCCTAGGCCTGGACAATTCTTTGGATTCTACTCTACAGATGGTCATTCTTTCTTATACTTACCACTAGAACTGCTAAGAGGGTTTCTAAGGAAAACACCTCTGAAACACACACCCCCGACCACGCACTGGCCCGGGAGCCAGTCTCCACGCTACGTTAGTTTACACAGCCAAGAGCAAGTCCCCCGGGGACTCGAAACCTCCACTCCTCAGCCGTCCTCTTCCAGGCGAACGTGAGACACACCTGAAAAGGTGAAGCTCAGAAGGACACACACCCGCCCTGTTCAAGGCTGGAGGACACATGAGCAAGCAGGTGGACCCCACCCCAGAACCCAGCACCTTGCCACTTTGGGGTTCAGGCCAGAAGGGGCTGACAAGCAGCTGCCCCTCCCACACCCTATGGCACAACCCCCCTCACCCGTGTGGACTAAGCTGCCACCTCTCCCGACGCATCCCTGCCCAAGAAAGGGTCCCAGGGCGCGGCCAGTCAGCCTCTTCCAAACTCTCGGGGTGCCCTGGCGCCCACACCTTCCCCCTGCACGGAAGACCAGGGAGACCTGCTCCACGTGTTCCCGGCTCTCTGCGCCCCGCCAGCAGTCTCTGGCTGCCGGGTGCTATCCGGACAGCGCCCAGGGGACGGCGCCCAGGGCACGAGCCCAGCAGCACGCTCCAGCTGTGCCTCAGCCTCTGGGGTGGAGGAGCACACACCTCCCGTCACAGCCCCTCACACACACGCCAGCACCGGCGTGGAGAAGGCCCTGGCTACTGACTTCCACGGCCAAGGCTGCCTTCAGAACTAGCACCCTCACGACAGAACTGAAGGCTCACTGCTCCGGGACACTAGACGGCGGGCGCTCTCCGTGGCCCCCTGAAGTGGAGCACACCCCGGGACTGTCTCTGGGCCGGGACACTAGACGGCGGGCGCTCTCCGTGGCCCCCTGAAGTGGAGCACACCCCGGGACTGTCTCTGGGCCGGGACACTAGACGGCGGGCGCTCTCCGTGGCCCCCCTGAAGTGGAGCACACCCCGGGACTGTCTCTGGGCCGGGACACTAGACGGCGGGCGCTCTCCGTGGCCCCCTGAAGTGGAGCACACCCCGGGACTGTCTCTGGGCCGGGCGCAGCGCCTGCACCTGATCTCTTTGTTGATGGCGTCCAGCTGCTCCTGGAGCATCATGGCCAGCGTCTGGGCGTCGGCCTGCCCACCGGGCGACAGCAGAGCAGACGAGCTGAAGAGGGCGTCCCTGTCGTCCTCGCCGTCAGACAGGTCGGCGTCGCTCTCGAACGCTTGCGCCACGTTTGCCAGGACACTGGCCTGCTGGGCCCGCTCCCAGTCCTGCTCATTGAGAGTCTGCACCTGTAGGCGAGAAGCCACGTCTCAGCGAGCACACACCCGCACCCTGGTCAGAGCAACCTCCAGGAAACCTACCAGGAGCTTTCTTAAATTTCTAAACGGAAGGCCAGCAGACTCTGGGGAAACGGCGGTGCTGCCAGCTGCTGGCGTCGAAGCAGCCGTGTTCGAGAACGGGCGGCTGCCCACCGCACCGCCGTCTTCCGGGGAGGGAGGCATCCCTATGCCGCTGCTCTTGATGGTGACCGACTGAGTCAGAAAAAGCTGAAAACCACAAAAACACGCCCAAGCCCACTGGCCACGTGCACGGCAGTGGAAACTCCTTCGATTCACACTGCTGGCTTCCGTCGCCGCCGGGACTTTTACTGGCACGGAAACTGGAGCTGCTGGAGTTTCCTGGTCTCTTCCGGGGGTGGCACTGCCCAGCACAGGCCGAGGGCGGCAGCAGCACAGGGGCGCTCGCCCGCTGGAGTTTTCCGGGGAGGTGCTGCTCACGCAGGAAGGCCTCTGTGCCGAGCCAGCCCTCCTCAGTGACAGCGCACTGTGACCCCGCGCGGGGACCAGGAGTGCACGCTGGGCACTGTGACCCACGTGGTCCCTTCACACCTCCTGGCTCCTAAGCTCCCCCTCTCCCACCCACTCGGCACTGTAGACGCCTCTCCCGCCCTTCTCCCGAGACCTGGGCTGCAGCTTACCCCAGGGTCCCCTGCCATCACCCCTCCCTGAGAGGAACGGCGCCCCAGAACTCCGCCGTGGCCTCAGCCGTCACTGCGCCTCCCTCCACAGTGAAAGCTCCCTGGCGCTGCCTCCAGCTGCCCTGCCCCCGCCCTCTCCAGGACGCCAGCAGCGGCTCTGCACGCCCCGCCGCTGCCCCTCGCCGGGCCCCTGGCACTGCTCCCCTCTTCCCTGAGCTCACTTGGCTGCAGGCCCAACCCCTGAAAAATGGGGGTCCCTGGCTCTATTCTCACAACCCACTTGGTGACTATCTTGTCTCAAGCTATAAACACCACCTGTATGCTCATGACCCCTGACCTTTACCTCTAGATGACAGTGCTCTCTCAGGTCCAGCCGAAACGTCCAGCTGCCTACCTGACACGTGCCCATGTGGGCACCTGACAGACCACCCACCTGAGCAGGGCCGAGGCTCAGCTCCTAGTCCCCAGCCCCGCCACCTCCTCATGTCAGCACTGAAGTGTTGCTGCTCTAGGACATTCAGACGAGGAGGGAGACAGACCCACCTCCAGCTGCTCCCGCCTGAGCCCTGCAGCCCCTCCTGCGATCCAGCAGCGCACGTGTTGAAGCGACCCTACGACAGCTCCAAAGGCTACCGCTCTTCCCCTCAGGTCTTTCCACCCTCCTGGTGGCACCTCGTTGGCCCCCCATGCTACCACTCAGGCACCTGGCTTTCCTTCCCTGCTCAGAACCGGCTGACACTCTGGCGGCAGGGCCCGAGGACGAGAATGCCAGGACAGGAGAGGCGTGGTGCCCAAGCCCAGGGCGGATGGGGCTCTAAGGCCTTCTTGCTCTCAGAATGAGTCTAGGAAGCTGCTACCACACTGTGAGACGCTCAGAGTCCCAGGACAGGCCCCCAGGACCGGCCCCCAGGGACAGAGCTGGTCCTTCTTGCCGAGAGCCGGAGGGAGCTGGCAAGCCCACCCTCCAGCCTCAGCTGAGCCCCCCGACAGCTGCAACCTTGAGAGAACCTGAGCCAGGACCATCCTGCCGACACGCACCCAGGTTCACAGAGCTGTGAACCCGGAACGTTCGTCGTGAAGTTCTGTGGTCATCTGTTACCATGGCAACAGATAACTAATACAGGAACCCTGGCTCACTGCTTGTCTCTCCGCACTGGATGTGTGTGCTGAAGGGCAGGTGTTGGCTCTATTTTTTTTTTTTCTTTACTGATTTTAGAGAGAGAGGGAGAGCTAGAGAGATAGAAGTATCAATGAGAGAGAACAAGCCACCTCCTGCACGCCCCCCCCACTGGGGATTTGGCCCACAACCTGGGCATGTGCCCTGACCGGCAATCGAACTGGCTACCTTTTGGTGCAGGGTTGATGCTCAACCACTGAGCCACACCGGCCGGACTGGTCTGGTTTTTGCTCATGCCCTAACCTCGGTCTATAATGATGCCTGGCCCAGACGAGAGGTCCAATGAGTATGGGCACTCAAAATACAGAAAAGTATATAAAAATATCTGCTGTGAAATAGACAAAAGTAGATAAGTATTTCAACCCCCTGCACAGTCAAAAATCCACGTATAACTTTGGATTCCCCCTGCCCTGCCTGGTGTAGCTCAGCAGTGAAAGCGTCGGCCTACAGACTGAAGGCTCTTGGGTTCGACTCCCAGTCAAGGGCACGTACCTGGATTGCAGGTTCAATTCCTGGCCCCAGTCAGGGTCGTGAGGGAGGCAACCAATCCATGTGTCTCTCTCACATAGATGTTTCTCTCTCTCCCTCCCTCCCTTCCAGTCTATCTAAAAATCAACAACAAAAAAATAGCCTCAGGTGAGGATTAACCACCACCACAAAAACAAGAAAAACAGAAAACTTTTGACTCCCCAAAACCTTAACTACTAACAACCTACTATTGGCTGGAAGCCTTTTCGATGACATAACCAATTAACACACATCTTGTGCATTATATTACCTGCTGCACTCCTACACCCCAGTAAGCTAGAGACAAGGAAAGCCATTCAGAAAATCACAAGGAAGAGAAGATACCCTCACGGCACTGCACATGTTAATAGATGTCAAAAGTCTAAGTGGTCTGTCTACAAGTTGAAAGAAAACCCACAGATAAGCTGACTTGAGCAGTTCAAACCCGTGTTGTTCAAGGGTCAACTGCACATGTACTCATTCACTATTAATTACTACTTCAAACCGACTAATTTATATCGTGTTACAATTAAGAAATCATATTTTATCAGACTTCCCATTCTTAAAAAGCACACCTTAAAAGTAAACGTTCAGCTAGAGAAAGCAAAGTGGGGGAGGGGAAGAGAGAGCGTGCCTATTGACACTCATTCCCAACAGCCCCAGTGCGCGAGGCGGGCGGTGACGTGCAGGCAGGCGGCCCGGAGCCGGAGCCCTTACCTTTGAGGGCTCGTCCCGCAGCGCTGCCACTCGGCCTTTCTGGGGGCGCCGCAGCACCGCACTGCTGCTGTAGGAGTCCGTGGGACCGTCCTCCACGGGGAACCTGAAGTCGGGGACACTGCCCAAGTGGGGTCGGCTGAAACATGGATCAAAAGATCGTTAACAGAAAAAAGTGAACCAACTGTGCTCATCAAGCCAGGACCTGTCCCTCTGGGAACAGTGATCCACAGCAAGGCCCCAGAGAGGGCGGCCCTCACCTGCCCCGGTGCCGCTCCTGCCCACCCAGCCCGTCAGCCCCGCCAGGAAGGGCGCCGCCAGGATGTGCGGGTGAGCTGGAGGCCGGCCGCTGGGGCCCATCCGGAGCTGTCCCTCGGGTCAGGCTGCCGGGCGCTAGGTCGCTCCCCATCTCCCTGACCGACCTGGAGGCACACCCCACGTCACTCCTGGCCTCCGGCTGCTGGCTTTCCCACTTGCCAACCCAGTGAGGTCGACGCTGTGCCCCACCTGTGAGGCTTTCTCAAGTGCGCCCTCGAGGGCCAGCTGCAGGAGCCCTGGGACCACAGCAACCATGTACAGGGAGACGGGTTTGGTACCTCGCTCTCCTGTTTCTGAATCAAAAGCGCAGCCCTGTGTGCAATCGGGTCGGCAGACAATCAGCACTGCTGGCTAGAGAAATCTCCAGAGCAGTGGCTGGGCCTGCACTGCTACGGAGACAGAGGAGCCATGAGCTGTCCCAGAGGAGCCTACAGAGAGACTGGTCAGCAGAGGGGAGGGCGTGTGCCGCCCAAAGGTCCAGCCTTTGCTGGGCACCGCACCCGCATCTCCAGCCACACCGTCCCCTGGGGAAGAAGGGTGGCTGCCTTCCTTTTCAAAAATCCTTAAGACCCAGAGAGCTATAACCCATGCGTCCAGCTTGGTTCACACACCTCTCGACATTCTCGCAAGAAGGCCTTTGAAACACCGCACTTACTCCTTGTTTAGCAGGTGTCCGTCCACCTATGACCTTCCTCTTTGCCCTCCTTCCCAATGCACTGCCCCTTCCTCAGCGGGGCTCCTGACAGCAGCTGGGGGCTGTGACCCTTTCAAAGCAGCTGGGACCCAGGAGCATTAGCCCTGCATGGGGCTCTGGAGGACTCGGCTTCTCGGAGTGCACGTATTGAACCCCGGCACCCTTCTGCAGGATGACCCGCACGTGGCTCTGGAGGACTCGGCTTCTCGGAGTCCACGTATTGAACCCCAGGCACCCTTCTGCAGGATGACCCGCACGTGGCTCCGGAGGACTCAGCTTCTCGGAGTCTATGTGAACCCCGGCACCCTTCTGCAGGCTGACCCGCACGTGGCTCCGGAGGACTCGGCTTCTCGGAGTCTATGTGCTGAACCCCGGCACCCTTCTGCAGGCTGACCCGCACGTGGCTCCGGAGGACTCGGCTTCTCGGAGTCTATGTGCTGAACCCCGGCACCCTTCTGCAGGCTGACCCGCACGTGGCTCCGGAGGACTCGGCTTCTCGGAGTCCACGTATTGAACCCCAGGCACCCTTCTGCAGGATGACCCGCACGTGGCTCCGGAGGACTCGGCTTCTCGGAGTCTATGTGCTGAACCCCGGCACCCTTCTGCAGGCTGACCCACACGTGGCTCCGGAGGACTCGGCTTCTCGGAGTCTATGTGCTGAACCCCGGCACCCTTCTGCAGGCTGACCCACACGTGGCTCCGGAGGACTCGGCTTCTCGGAGTCTATGTGCTGAACCCCGGCACCCTTCTGCAGGCTGACCCGCACGTGGCTCCGGAGGACTCGGCTTCTCGGAGTCCATGTGAACCCCGGCACCCTTCTGCAGGCTGACCCGCACGTGGCTCCGGAGGACTCGGCTTCTCGGAGTCTGTGAACCCGGCACCCTTCTGCAGGCTGACCCGCACGTGGCTCCGGAGGACTCGGCTTCTCGGAGTCTATGTGCTGAACCCCGGCACCCTTCTGCAGGCTGACCCGCACGTGGCTCCGGAGGACTCGGCTTCTCGGAGTCTATGTGCTGAACCCCGGCACCCTTCTGCAGGCTGACCCGCACGTGGCTCCGGAGGACTCGGCTTCTCGGAGTCCATGTGAACCCCGGCACCCTTCTGCAGGCTGACCCGCACGTGGCTCCGGAGGACTCGGCTTCTCGGAGTGCATGTATTGAACCCCGGCACCCTTCTGCAGGCTGACCTGCTCCAGCCCCACCGCATTCTGCGCGGGCCCCCTGGGGAGCCAGGGTCCTTCCTCTCTGCTCGCGGAAGCCTGTCCATCAGCCTCCTTCTCCACCCTGCAGTCCGGCTAGCTTCTCTGCTCAAGTCACACGGCCAGGTGACTGACCCCAGCTCACGGACCTGCTTCTCTTCACCCCTCCCAGCTCACGCCTGCCCCAGGTGCTCTGTGAGGCGTCTTCCGTTTCCAGCTCCCCGACAGGACCTCCGCTGCCCCGTGGAGCCTCTCCCGCCCGGTCTCCCGCCCACACAGCCCTGCGACAGGCTGGAGCGCACAGCTCCTCTCGGCACCGCGCGTTCACGTCACACTGTGGACTGGCCACCACGCCAAGACTCCTCCATCATCACTGCTGCCCCGACTCTGCCACCCTCCAAGCTCCTGCACGGGTCCCCTCATTCCCCAACCTGCCCACGATGTCCGAGTCCCCTGCACCCACTCACCCGCAGACCCCCTCACACACACCTTCAACTCCTTCAGGGGGCCTGCCCTGCCACACGGGCGACACCAGCCTTTCCCATCGAGGACCTCACCCAGCACGCCAGCGACCTGCCCCCGACGGCGCCCGCAGCTCCCTGAGCAGGCCCTCTCTCCTTCCAGGTCTAGCCCCCTGCAGTTTCACAGACAGGAAGTCTCGGACTGCCTCTCAGCAACAGTCTTCATGATTTCACCTTTTTTTCTAAAAGTAGGTTCAACAAGGACAACCACAAAGTACTGCAGACCTTCCCAATACCCTAAATTTACAAATGCAAAGATATCCGTACAGGTTCCGAGCATTCTCCTAATTCCTGTTCCAAGCAGAACTTCGCTTCCTGTAAACTAATGAATGTCACCAATCACCCACTTCAATAATTCTTGAAGTTTAAATCTCAACTGATGACCAGGTTCTACAAAGAAGCAAAAGAAATTTCTAAATACTTCAGTGACAATGCTGCCTTTGTAACGACAGCCAACTCAAAGTCACGTGTCAGAAGAAGTTACAATGATGACGTCATTAACCTTTAAATGCTCAGGACGAGTACTGCACCAAGCCCATGGAAGCCCGAGTCCCTCATTCTGTCCGCTGTGCAGTCCCCCGGTGACCTCGCCGACCTTGTGCACGTGGATGCCCGAGTCCCTCAGCCTCCACTGTGCAGTCCCCCGGCGACCTCGCCGACCTTGTGCACGTGGATGCCCGAGTCCCTCAGCCTCCGCTGTGCAGTCCCCCGGCGACCTCACCGACCTTGTGCCCGTGGATGCCCGAGTCCCTCAGCCTCCGCTATGCAGTCCCCGGCGACCTCGCCGACCTCGTTTGTGCACGTGGATGCCCGAGTCCCTCAGCCTCCGCTGTGCAGTCCCCGGTGACCTCGCCGACCTCGTGCACGTGGATGCCCGAGTCCCTCATTCTGTCCACTGTGCAGTCCCCGGCGACCTCGCCGACCTTGTGCACGTGGATGCCCGAGTCCCTCATTCTGTCCACTGTGCAGTCCCCCGGTGACCTCGCCGACCTTGTGCCCGTGGATGCCTGAGTTCCTCAGTCTGTCTGCTATGCAGTCCCCCGGTGACCTCGCCGACCTTATGCCCGTGACCGTCACTCCCAGTGAAGCCACGCTCTGCCCGCCTCTCCCTACACTAGCAGGGCCACATCCTGCTGGCTCCTTCAGTGAACACACCCAAACAGAAACTGATCACCCACCTTCCACACCTTCTCCCCGGTGCTGACTGTGACTGACCTCTGGACTGACACAGCCCTCTGCCCTCCAACCTGCTCCCTCGGCCAGACTGTGAGCTGAAACCAGGGATACTGCCATGCGGCCAAGGACGTGCCCCGTGCATACCGCACAGGCTGAGGTGGGTCCCCGACTGGGGCGTCATACCTATGGTGAAGGGAAGTGGCTCTGAGCCTCATCTGGTCCAGGTCAGCCTTCAAAGTTGCGACGCTTTGCTGCAGATGCTCCTATAAAACAACAAACAACATCATTGTAGTGGCCTCAGGACTCGGGTCCTCGCGTGTGCTCAGCGGCTGAACACGACCGACCGGGAGGTGAGCCGAGCAGTCACCGTGCAGCGCTCTGATTCTGAGGCTCTCTCCAGAGTCCTGAGCGAGCACACTCACACACCAAGCGACTTCAAACCCAGAGAGAGGCACGTCTCAGTCACAGAGGAGCTTTCAGAAGAGACACCAAGCCATCAACAATGATTCCTGCGTGTGTGTGTGCGATGGGATACTCACATCCTCCCGCGCACACCTCCCTGCTGTGTGCCCATCTCCCGATACGTCCTCCCGCGCACACCTCCCTGCTGTGTGCCCGTCTCCCGATACGTCCTCCCGCGCACACCTCCCTGCTGTGTGCCCGTCTCCCGATATGTCCTCCCACGCACACCTCTCTGCTGTGTGCCCGTCTCCCGATACGTCCTCCCACGCACACCTCTCTGCTGTGTGACTGTCTCACATCGAATACACCTTCACTCATCTACCATCTACATGTGCAACCTCTTTTCCCTACACTGTAAAGCTACAACTGACAGACGGTTTCCATCCCTCAATAAGCTCTGGCTTGGTGCTGTCCATCTAGCACCTGTTCTGGCCACATGTGGCCACTGAGCACTCGAATGGGGCCAGTCCAAGCTGAAATGTGTTTTACCTATAAAACACACTGGATTTCAAGCTTAATATGAAAAAAGCATGTGAAGGAATCCACTAATTTTTATATTAATTACATGACCAAGTAATGTTTCAACGACACTGGGTTAAACAGTTACTTTCACTGTTTCTTTGACTATTCTGCATGGGCCGCGAGACCACTGCAGATGGCGCATGGGTCAGTGTCGTTCTTGGCTGGCTGTCCTAGATGGGAGTGTGGTCATGTGACAGCTGTGCCGTGCAGCCAGAAAGGAGGCACAGTTCTAAACCGCCCACTGCCACTCAACCCACGGCGTGGGGCTCGCCGGAGAGCGTAACTCCCTGCGCCGAGCATCCGCAGCGATGAGTGACCGTAGACCAGCTCGAGTCAGCTCGATGCAGTTCTAGGGGATCTGAAGATTTAAGTACCTTCTCATGTTGACCTTCTTCTAACTGCTTTTTTAAATCCTCAATTTCTCGTAACAGAGCATTCTGAAAAAGACAGACAGTGCTTCAGGGTTGATTCCTGAAAGTGTTGCGTATGGCATCACATTTACAACGTATTTCTATTACAACAACGAGGCAGCGGAGAGCAGGGACAGAGGACATGAACGGCCCTGAGCAGCACACACACCCACAGTGAAGTGCCTATGAGGAGGCCAGGGAAACATTTTTTTTTTTTAATGCTCACCCAAGGATATTTTTTCCATTGATTTTTAAAGAGTAGAAGGGGAAGGGGGGCATCAGTGTGAGAGACACAAGTTGATTGACTGCTTCTGGAATGCACTCTGACGAGAGCTGGGGATTGAACCTGCAATCCAGGTAGGCACATGCCCTTGACCAGAAATCAAACCTGCGACCCTTCCTGTGCAGGCCGACATGCTAGCGACTGAACCACATCAACCAGGGTAACTTTTAATAGTCTTGGTAATGTAAAATTTACTTCTGTGATCGGTTTTCCAAATGTTGGTACAGCAAGCTCATTTTAATCACTCAAACTGGTTTGAGCAGCTTTTGGTCTGTGATTCACTGGTCACTTGGGAGACCTGACTCAAGTTCAAATGCGCGATTCCACTCCCAGATAAAAGTACTCCTACCTAAGGCAGGCCCCACTGAGCAAGGGTGTGTATTACCACCACCTACTGGGCTCTACAATGCATTTCATAATGGATTTTGTGCAAAATTAATGTGCCGCACCAGCAGTAGTAATCACTGGTCGCTCTCAAATGAGCATGACCGAGTGCCAACCCCAGCGAAGATTCTGGGCCTCATCTTGAGGTACACAGGTGCCGTCAGAACAGGTCTTATCAAATCTGATCCCCACTGTCGCTTCTCTGACACAGATTCAAGGACACACTTCATCTCTGGTTACAGCTAAAGAATTCCTTGATGACAGCAGCAAGAGCCCAGGCTTAGACATTTTCCAAACCAAATGAAAAGGAAGAAGGCAGGAGCTGGAATATGAAACTTTGAGACAGAAATGAACTTCCAATGCAAGAGCAACAAAGAGGTGAGGGCTAGGCCCAACTCTAGATTCTAACCCTGGCCAGTTTATTCAGTGGTCAGAGCGTCAGCCGAAAGATCAAAGGGTCGTAGGCGTGATTCTGGTCAAGGGGACGCACTTGGGTTGCAGGTTTGGCCCTGGTTGATATCTCTCTCTCATATCGATGTTTCTCTCTCCCTCCCTCCCTTCCAAGCTCTCTAAAAACAAATCTATGGTAAATATCCTCGATGAGGATTAACAAACAAACAAATAAAGGTTCTAGTGCAGGAGTTGGTAAACTAGGGCCTGTTGGCCAAATATGGCCCACAGACTCTTCTTGTCAATAAAGTTTTATTGAAACACAGCCATACCAATTCATTTAAATATTGTCTCTATGGCTGCTTTTGTGTTAATTATTGATTAGTATGAAACTATTTTACACAATTTGTCATAATTAGCAAAACCTAAAACTTTTACTATCTGCTCCTTTAATTTTTGTTTTGTTAATACTCAACTGAGGATATTTTTCCATTGATTTTTTTAGAGAGAGTGAAAAGGAGGAAGGGAGGGAGGGAGGAAGGGAGGGAGGGAGGGAGGGAAACATCGATGTGAGAGAAACACATTGACTGGTTGCCTCCCACATGACCCCAACCAGGGCCGGGGATCAAACCTTCAACCCAGGTACGTGCCCCTGACTGGGAATCAAACCTGTGGCCCTTAGGTCTGCAGGCAGACGCTCTAACCATTGAGAAAGCTTTCTAGGGCACTATCTGCTCCTTTAAAGAAAGAGTCTACTGATCCCCGTTCTCAAGAGCAAGACTGAAGAACAACTCTGCATGTATGCAACTCGTGCAGGACATGCCAAGCGACACGCGAGCTCAGCGAGCAGACCACGGCTCCTTCCGCTGAGACTGACTTCCCCTTTCTTAGAGGTGCTGAGCATGTTATGCACTGTTCCTCAGGAGCAGGTCATGAACGATGCTTCTGCAAGGGTGGGGAGCCCTCTGCGACCTCCAACCTTATCTTCCAGAGCAGCCATCCTCTCTTTAAGGTGAAGCTGAAGTCTCTCATTCGATTCTGAAAGAAGCTTGTCAACAGTGTCTGATAAACGTTTATTATGTTCTTCATTCATTTTTTCTCTCTGCCGTGCCTAAAACAGGAAAAATAAAACCTTAGCAACTTCCAGCAAAGGTATGATCATTATATCACCAGTGCCAAGGACCAGTGGTGCGGGTGACACAGGACACTGCCCCTCCCCACAGCCTTCTGCAGCGATGACACGATCGCCAGGACCCACTCGCAGGTGCAGAGACGCAGGGACAAGTCTGTGAGATCACTAGTTAAAGGAAGCCCTGGAGGGCCTGAGGACCCGCCCATCAGGGACTGTCGGCCTGACTCAGGCCCACGCAGGTGCAGAACCGAGCACGTCTGTATGGGGGCCAGCGCGTCAGGACACTGCTGGAGGGGCTGCCCTGTGTAAGCAGAACCTCGGGTCTGGATGCAGGGGAAAAAATTTAATCCACAAAGCAGAAGGTAAAAAAAATCATTTTAGAAAAAAGTCAGTGGGAATAAAGAGACTTTCACTTGTTTTTCTTTATACTTCTAAGTCTCAAACTTTTTGTAACAAAAATTCATGTGAAAAAATTACAAATAATTACCTTAAATAATTTTCATTAATCCTCACCCAATGCTAACCACAGAGTCAAACTAGCCAGGACTACCTCGCGTAATTTTAAAATGTAATAACGAAGTTGATAAGTCTACCATTTCTAGAAGTAACATCGGTTTCATGGGTTAAGAAGCTTGTGTCCACCTTATGTCCTGCATAAACACGAGAGCCAAGAGCAGGAGTGGGTCACCGGAGAAGTGCTCAGGGACTGCTCCCAGATGGAAGGCAGCATGGCCAGGGCTGAGATGTGTGCTCGGGTCATGCTGCCCAGGCAGGAGTAAAGAATCTACAAGAACTCATCGCTGGAATCTGCTTGTTTCCTCACCTATAACATGTGGGTGCCAGCATCCCCCTTTTCTCTATGGCTATTGTAAAGATTACATAGAAAGCACTCAAAATCATGCCTGACACACTGAAACCATGATCTGGAGGAGACCCCCACACACCATACAATAAGGTGTTGGCATCTGAATACGAGCATATGCATGAGCCTGAGTGTATGAGCGTGTGCACGAGCCTGGGTATATGTGTACATGCATGAGCCTGTGTATGACCATGTGCATGAGCCTGAGTGTATATCGTGTGCACGAGCCTGCAAGTATGTACATGAATAAGCCTGTGTGCATGAGCATGTGTCCCTGTGTGTGCATGTGCCTGTGTATGAATGTATGAACAAGCCTGTATGTGCTTGAGTGTGCACAAGCCTACGTGGTGTGTGATTGTGCACGAGCCTGTGCATGTACGTGTGCATGAGCCTACACATGTACGTGTGAGTGTGCAAGAGCCTGTGCGTGCGTGCGCACAAGCCTGTGTATGTGCGCGGGAGTATGCACGAGTCTGTGTGTGTGCGTGTGTGCACAAGTCTGTGTGTATATGTACGTGCATGAGCCTGTGTATGAGTGTGTGCACCAGCCTGTGTGTATGTGTACGTACACGAGGCTGTGTATCAGCATGTGCATTAGACTGTGTGTTGAGCGTGCACAAGCCTGCGTGTATGTGCATGTGTGTGTACTAGCCTGTGTGTGCATGTATGTGTATTGGGAGGTAGGGGACTGCCTAGCACATAGTCCCTTAATCACAATCAGAATCTTCACTTAATGGAAGCTCATGTGTGATGCTCAGCAGTCCATGGTCAAGAATACAGGTTTCTGGTAAAAGCAAAATCTGATGGCCTTCAACTGATGTTCATAAGGTTGGTGCCAAATGGACCTGGATCAGCCGCTCACTGTTCCTTGCAGGTGCCGTGCTGACATCTGACTGGCTCTTCAGAAAAAACCCTAGGAGTCACCCCAAACCAACTCCACAGCCATGCTCCCTAGGCTCTGCTACCGCAGCTCAGTCACAGTCGTCCCCTTGCCAGGAACATCCCTCCCTGCCTGTTCCTTTATGTTGACAGTAACAATGTGGTATTTGGGATGGAAGTCAGGGCGGTGACCTGAATGTGGGACTTAGGTGCCGTATTGTGAGCAAGCAGACTGTCCCAGTCATTTCAGGGGACCCCAGGCCAGCACCTCAGGTATGTGTGACAGCACCCAGAGGTCCTTCCCACCGGTACCTGGAGCAGTCCCCTGATGGGCTACCTCTTCCTCGCCTACCTCTTCCTCGCCACCGAAGCGACATGAGGCTGTCTATGCGGTGGACCTTCCAGCAGACAAGACGCAAATGCAGCCACAAGGTGACTGCACAGCCGGAGTGGGGAAGGGGACAGAGTCGGAAGAAGAGGAGATCCCAGCCCCCACCCTGTCCCTGGGCCCCGCCTGGCACTGGGACAGACGTCTGCTGAGTCACATACCCGCTGCAGCTCCTGGTTCTTCTCCTCCAGCCGTGCCTCCATCTGGCACAGTCGCTCCTCAATGTTGCCGTGCCTCTCTTCAGCCTGCCACCAAGCACAGTGTAAGTCGACTGACAGAGACACGGCTCTGGGCACACATGCTGCGCACTAACTAAAGCAGTAGCAATAAGCACACCATGCTCGTGCGGACATTTCCACCACGTTCGACGGAAGCGTCTCCTCACATCCACCAACACGCCCTGGGTGGCCACGTGTTGGCCTGGGAGGCAGCTGCCCCCGTGCGGGTGGCTCTGGGCATGGCTGCGGTGGTGGTGAGCTCTGTGAGGAAGATGTGCTCCCGCCCCACGCCCAGGCTCCAGGCTTCCTGCCCCCGCCTGCGCCTGCGTGGAGTGCGCATGGAGAGCAGAGCAGCGAGCACGACCCGACGCAGCACAGCTACCTTCCTAAGCTGGGCAGTGAGTTCGCACAGTTTAGCTTCCTTAGCGGCAGAGCTTCCAGAAGACAAAAGGTCAGACTACAAGGCCAACCAGGGACAGGAGAGATGACAGGGGAGAAGAGAAACCGAGACTTTAAACGCAGATCACGACGGAACAAGAGCACTTCTCTGTCACAGCTGTCAGCAATGCACTCACCCCCCAGGTCTACAGCACCCTGTCTGCCTGCCCCATCTCACCTGCCGCACTGGCAGCCCAGACGCTCGAGCCAGTGAGACAAAGCCATCGGCAGGTGCTCCTGCACAGGCTTGAGCACGCAGAGCCGCAGGCCTGACCCCTGCAGGCCAAGGGCTGGGCATCTGCAGCCACACCCTGCGCACACTGCCCAGACCCAACACCTATGACAACATTCTGAAATTGTCTTGTCACCTGCCTGTTGCCCCTGGAAGTGGGGCGACTGTGAGGAGAGGCACTGCGTCCTGCACATGCCCAGCCCGTATTTGTTAAAAATTTATTACAGCCCAGCCAGTGTGGCTCAGTGGTTCAGTGTTGACCCTGCACCTAGAGGTCACCAGTCGATTCCCGGTCAGGGCACATGCCCAGGTTGTGGGCCAAGTCCCCAGTGGGGGGCTGCAGGAGGCGGCCAATCGATGTTCTCTCTCATCGATGTTTCTATCTCTCTCTCCCTTCTCCTTCCCCCCTTTCTAAAATCAATAAAGAAAAAAATTAAAAAGAAAATATATTACAAATTTATTGTGACTGTGTTTAGAAGAGAATGGCCCTTTCCTACTTCTAACAATCCCTTCCTTTCCCTGCTAGCCAAGGCTCTGAGCTGCTGGCTTAACATCAGGAAGCAGCGACTCTTAGCTCCCCACACTGAGGACACACTCCACATCTGACAAACTGGAGGGAAACGAACATCAGGATAACACAACAATGTTCCAATCGCAAACTAAATAGCACTAAAAACCAGTCTAGCCATTTCAGGGATTTTGGCGTATGGACATAAGATCAATGACCAAGGTCCACGAACAAACCACCCTCCCCAAGACCCTTGTGTAGGGGAAGGAAGCCAGGGCAGCACCTTGGAGAGCGCAGCCACCCGCTGGGCCAGCTCGGCCTCCACCTCTGGGAGCGTCTCCGCCTTCCGCAGGGTCTGCTGCAGCTTCTGCTCCGCCAGCTCCAGGCGCTCCTGCAGCTGGCGGTTCTTGTCCTCGGTCTGCAGAGAGAGCACAGCAGTGAGTGGGAGCAGGTCTCCCAGCCATTCGTTGGTTTTTTGTTAAGAATCGTTCATTGATTTTTAGGGGGGGCGGGGAGAGAAGAGAAACATCAATGTGAGAGCGTAACATTGGCTGCTTCCTGCACACCCCCTACCAGGGATAGAGCCTGAAACTAGACATATACCTGACCAGGAACTAAACCGGCAACCTCCTGGTGCACGGTACGATGTTCAACCACGGAGCCGCCAGGCTGGGAAGCTGCTAGGCTCTTATAGAGCCGACTGGGTGCTGACAGCTGAGCGGGCTCTGAGGGACACACCAGTGTGGGAGCCGCCAGGCTGGGAGGCCGCTTGCCGACTGGGTGCTGACAGCTGAGCGGACTCTGAGGGACACATCAGTGTGGGAGCCGCCAGGCTGGGAAGCTGCTAGGCTCTAATAGAGCCGACTGGGTGCTGACAGCTGAGCGGGCTCTGAGGGACACCAGTGCGGGAGCTGTGTCAGGGTGACACTCTTCTTCCCGCGAGGAGCTCACACCCACTCTGCTTGGGCTTGACTTTAACTGCAAAGCACCTCTGGCCAGAGTGCTTACTTTTCCCAAGTATCTTTAAAGAAGTCTTCCAAAAATTAAAGTAAACGTTTCTACACATTAAAGAAAATGCTTCTTCTCCTTCAGTGGTGACTAAGGGTGCCCAGACCCTCTCCTGGCAGCTGACCAGCATGGCACGCCGGCCACAGCACAGCGCCCGCCTCCTCTGAAAGGGACACTTCTATGAGGGTGCCTGCAACAGCCTCTCAAGGTATTGTTGTAAATGTGGGATTATTCTTTTTAAAAAATCTCCTTACTCTAAAAAAATTTTAATGTAGAAAGTTAGACCAAAAAAATTAAAAAAAAAAAAAAAATTCAGAACTCATCTATGTGTTCAGGTCCCGGAGAAGTCCGTGTTTGTTCATACTTAGCTTTCCTTCCTTTTTCTGTGTGTGTACAAAGGGGTGGGTGAAAGGAGGTTCACAGTTGTAATACAAACAAAACAATAATTAATAACCAAAAATAAACTCGGCTTTGAATGCTCACAGCTGTAAACCTCTGTGAAACACGTCCAATATACTGTTCTCAACCCCTCAGAAAACTGCGACCTGCCTTTCAGACTCATCATTGTGAACACCTCAGACGCTCAGGCAGCACTCACACTGAGACTGATGACAGCTTCCTAGTGTTTTACTTTTCACATTTAGTTGGGCCCTAAGGATACACTTGATAGCACACTAGACAAACTTTATTTTCAAGAAGCGGGTTTGGTTTTCTGGTTCACGGACTACCTGAGACCCAGAGGAACAGGAGGCCCTGTGGCCACCACAGAAAAGAGAGCACAGACGCCCCCTGCTGGCTGCTTTTCTAAACTGCCCTTTATTAGCAGGACCAGGCCCGCACAAGCAGCCGGCGGCCTTCAAGTGCTTTGCTCTCTGTTCCTTTGATAAAAATGCTGACAAACAGACGAACGCTCAATTAAAACAAAACAAAACAAAACACAGAAAGACACAAGGAGTGCAACTCCATAAAATGGTAAAATCAAATCCTCCATAATTAAAACTGTAAACTGAAATAAGCCACACTGCAAACGTGACAGTCTGAGGTCCTAACTTCACATGTGGGCTCGCCGCCACCATGGACGGCCCAGAAGAAAGGCGTCTGCGGCAGCGGTGAGGAAGCGGCGGGCCCGCCCGAGCCTGTGAGCACCCACCTGCTGGTGCAGAGAGTCTTTGTTTGCGACTTCAGTCTCGAGCTTGTTGTTGAGGTCGTGCAGGGAGGTGGCTTCGCGCTGCACTGCCAGGTAGCGCTTCTCCAGAGTCGCGATCCTCTCCTCCGTGTCCTGCTTCTGGGCCACGGCCTGCGCCAGGCACGTCAGAGGGGAGAGATAAGTCATATAAAACGCATTAACACGCAAGGAAAAACTGGACGGAACTGTGATTTTCAAGCAAATATAAAACGACCATCCCTGCAATCAGGGTGGCAGACAGCCCACCTAGACCTGCCAGCTCTCACCTGTGCGCGGAGCCAGCACTCCTGGGTCCTGACACTGCGCCCAGTCGCCCAGTGACCAAGCTTAGCCTCCTCTACATAGTTCAGACAAGTGTACAATAGAATATCCACTGTTGTACGAATTCCAGGAGGTGAAGGTGCCGTCATGAAGGGCACGACCTCCGTCTGCCTCACGGCACAAGTGGGTGCACACAGGACAGGTGCGGCCCCTCGATGGACACAACGGGGTGACACCAGTGTCATTTTCTTGGGTAAAAGTTGGATGAAATCACATCCAATTACCACAAAATTAGGGCGACCACATCAGTTAATGGGAACAGAAGTCAGGTCAGTGGACTGGATAGAGCTTCTACAGCCGGACCCTGGAAAACCGCCGGAGCACGGACACTGAGGCTGGGCTGACTGCTCGTGCCCTCCTGTGCCCGCAGGAACTCACTTCGTTCCCTCTGCCAGCGAAGCAACCAATGTCGGCAGAGTCTTAATCCTGAGTGACAGGTCTAACAGAAGAATTCCAAGATTCTCTGCACGTGACACTGCACACGAACCATGGACTCGCAGGCCAGCGTCCCCACGCTGAGGGTCTGCAGGCGCTCCTGGAGAGGCCCTGGGGGGCCTGGGGAAGGTGCGGCTGCGTGCTGCTTGCAGAGCACAGGGCCGGCCAGCGCCAGAGCGCGCCAGCCCTCGCTGCTCTTTCACGGTGGTTTGTTTTGTTTGCTAATCCTCACCCGAGACCATCTTCCCATTGATTTTTTTTTTTTAGAGAGCGGGAGGAAGGGAGAGAGAGAAAAACCTAAATGTGAGAGAGACATACCAATTGGTTGCCTCCCGCATGATCCGACTGGAGCCAGGGATCAAACCTGCAACCCAGCTACGTGCCCTTGCCCGGGAATTGACCCGAGACCCAGCATTCCCAGGGCCGACGCTCCAACGGCTGAGCCGAAGCGGCCGGGGCCCTCCCTGGCTCTGACGATGGCACTCAGCTCTCCCGAACCCCTGCACACACAGACCGCCCGCCAGAACGGGCATCTGCCGCAATGTCACAGCACGGCCCTGAGGCCCCAACCTGAGCACAGCCCGTCTGCCTGCCCCTGGTGTCAGTGTCACTGACCCCTGTGAGGCAGGACTTGCGAGCAGGCCTCCAAGGCTCCCTGCACCGCCAGCAAGGCTCCAGCATCAGTGCGTGGGCCAGCAGCACAGCGGACAGCACTCACGTGCGCCTCAGAAGGCGCCTGAGCGTGGTGCAGACGAGGCTGAGCGCCTAGACCTGGCAGAAGCCAGGGCTCCACGCACCAGGGCGTCACGCAGGCTCCAGCATCAGTGCGTGGGCCAGCAGCACAGCGGACAGCACTCACGTGCGCCTCAGAAGGCGCCTGAGCGTGATGAAGACGAGGCTGAGCGCCTAGACCTGGCAGAAGCCAGGGCTCCACGCACCAGGGCGTCACGCAGGCTCCAGCATCAGTGCGTGGGCCAGCAGCACAGCGGACAGCACTCACGTGCGCCTCAGAAGGCGCCTGAGCGTGGTGCAGACGAGGCTGAGCGCCTAGACCTGGCAGAAGCCAGGGCTCCACGCACCAGGGCGTCACGCAGGCTCCAGCATCAGTGCGTGGGCCAGCAGCACAGCGGACAGCACTCACGTGCGCCTCAGAAGGCGCCTGAGCGTGACGAAGACGAGGCTGAGCGCCTAGACCTGGCAGAAGCCAGGGCTCCACGCACCAGGGCGTCACGCAGGCTCCAGCATCAGTGCGTGGGCCAGCAGCACAGCGGACAGCACTCACGTGCGCCTCAGAAGGCGCCTGAGCGTGGTGCAGACGAGGCTGAGCGCCTAGACCTGGCAGAAGCCAGGGCTCCACGCACCAGGGCGTCACGCAGGCTCCAGCATCAGTGCGTGGGCCAGCAGCACAGCGGACAGCACTCACGTGCGCCTCAGAAGGCGCCTGAGCGTGGTGCAGACGAGGCTGAGCGCCTAGACCTTGCAGAAGCCAGGCCTCCACGCACCAGGGCGTCACGCAGGCTCCAGCATCAGTGCGTGGGCCAGCAGCACAGCGGACAGCACTCACGTGCGCCTCAGAAGGCGCCTGAGCGTGGTGCAGACGAGGCTGAGCGCCTAGACCTGGCAGAAGCCAGGGCTCCACGCACCAGGGCGTCACGCAGGCTCCAGCATCAGTGCGTGGGCCAGCAGCACAGCGGACAGCACTCACGTGCGCCTCAGAAGGCGCCTGAGCGTGGTGCAGACGAGGCTGAGCGCCTAGACCTGGCAGAAGCCAGGCCTCCACGCACCAGGGCGGCGCGCAGGCTCGCAGCAGCACGGCTGCAAGGTGGTCTGATGAGCAGCAGGACCAGGTCTCCACCTCCCCAGACCGTGGGGAGAGCAGACTGGGCCACCAGAACGGGAGTTGCCGATCACAGGCGCACAGCACTGAGCTGTTCTGCTATTACGTACCCAATGATCCAAAGGCTAGAACCAAGTGGGAGCGTACGAGACAAAATGAGCAAAACACCCCAAACATTCAGGTCGACGACAATCTGCAATGTCTAGCGCACTCACTTCCCGAACATCTCGCTGCAGCTTGGTGTTCATCTCCTCGGACTTGATGAGGTCCTTCCTGGCGGTGTCCAGGCCCTCCTCCAGCTCCGCGACGTGGGAGGAGAGGGCCGCCAGCCGCTCCTTCATCTGGCTCTGCTCGCGGGACTGCCTGTCGATGACTTCCTGCAGCTCCATCACTTTAGCCAGGTCTTCCTCGTGGCTGGAGGAGCCGTCCGAAGATCTCTGATGGGGAGAAGACATGCTTCAGAAGCCTTGTTTGCCGAGCCAGGAAACAAAGCGCTTCTGGGAACAGGCAGAATCAAAACGAGCTCATGCAGTCTGCTGGGTCGCACAGCGTCCAGAAGCACGCAGGCGGCGCTGTGCGTGGCAGCAGCGTCCCGACAGGCCTGCAGACAGGCGAGACCAGAACTCAGAGACAGAGGAAGCCGAGGACTTGCCTTTCCGTTCGTGCTTGGCGTGTTTTCCTGTTCATGGTTTACGTCAAGCACCCCATCTGTCAGTGTTTTTTTCTGATTATTCTGTTCTTTAAGAATCATTAGCTAAAACCGAAAAATTGCATATGAGTCAAGAAGTAAGTCAAGACAGCAAAACTCTTTTTGGAAAAACACAGCTATAAACTGTACATAGTATAAAAATATATATACATGGTGATGCTGTCCATCCTGACTGGAACCAAGGTATTCAAACCAGAACTAATCACTTACTAGACAAACGGGCCCTTAGAGATTGTGCAACTCTGAAAGGAAAGTCTAGTGTACAAGTCATTACAGGGACCCCAGGGGCGGGTCCTCCGTCAGAAAGACAAACCGCATCTGAAATCCACCACTACAGTCTTCGTCCTGCTTTTGGAACGAAGAGACGGACGAGGCCCTCCCTTGCCACTCCGTGCACCAGGCTCACCTCTCTGTGTGTGGCGCCCAACTCTTCCTCCAACAAGCTGCAGCGTTCCAGCGCCACGCGCAGGCGCTCTCTCACCTGGAAGGAGACGCCGGGCGTGAGTGCACACGGGTTCTCCAGCAGCTGCTGATACACCGGCGCTGCAAACCGCCACCAGAGCACCTTCACGTCTCTTACAGGTGCTAACGATACATTGTTTAGTAATAGCTTCTAATTTTAGAAAAATCTTCCTCCTAAATTATACTATTCAAGTCTTAATAACAAAATCAATATATGGGACATAATAAATTTTAAGATGTTTATGCCAACCAATACTTGAACTACACAGAACTCTGTCTCCCGCAGGAAACTCCGTGAGGACCGCGTGCCGGAGCCAGCGCCACCGCGGGGCCGCCCGGCCAGTACCTTCTCGTCCAGAGCCTTGTGGTGCTCGAACAAGGACTTGAGCGCCTTGAGCACCTCCACCTCGCTGGACACGCCCGCCGGGGACTGCGCCTGCCTCTTCACCACCGTCATCCTCAGAGACCGCTCGTGCCTGGAGACAAGGCACTCTAAGTGTTCCAACAGCAGCTGGGAGAGAGGCCGAAGAAAGAACATGTTCAGTATGGCACAGTTCATCTGGGCAAGGAACCCCTCCACTCGCATGCTGAAGTCAGAGAAATCCCCTCACGGGTATTAAAGTACTAGTTCTCCCATCATAGAGTGCGAGCAAGGCCTGAGAACACTGCACGATACACCGCTGTCGGGCGGCAGGAAACGGTGAGTGTGTGACCAGGCAGAGCGCGTGGCTCAGGGCGGAAAGGGGCAGCCACGGCCGCAGCACGCCTGTGGGACCACGGCAAGTGCAGGGCAGCTAGACTCTACTGACCCTGGTGTTGTTCCTTTCCGCCTTCAGCTCAGCAATTTCTTCTTCCCTCTCGAGGAGCTGCTCCCTGCACACGTTGAGCTCCTTAGTAAGTGCTGCGAACTCCTGGAAGACAGGAAGAGACCCTCAGCAGAGACCCCGGCGAGCTCTCCAGCGCTCACCAGGGAGACCCTGGCCCAGGGACAGCGACCTCTGCGGTTCTCCAGGGGGAGAGGGGTCAGCCCCAAACCCAAGGCCACACAGAAGACCTCCACTCAGGTACTCAGGAGCAACACTCCCCCAAAATGATACGACTGCCTGCCAACGTCTCACTGCACTTTAACATTTCCTCCTAAAGGCCGAAGAAGGCATCGAGGCTCACTCAACAATCAATCTGACATTAAAGACACGAAAGTGGTGGATCTAGGTGTTTCTAGGCAATTTACAAACAGGTGGAATGTCCAAGCTCATCCACAGATGATTCCTTCGCGGTCGAAGTCAACCTCAGCGCAGAAATGACGCCACTCGTCAGAATCTGACTTTACAGGCCGCGCCGCACGGCTGTCCAGAGCCGTGACGGAGAACCCAAAGACTTGAAGAGAAGCAAGTGGGAGGACTAACATCCAAGTATTTCTTTTCTTCAGTGCTGTTGTTCTGGGGGGAGCAAAGTGACGGGGATGGGGAGGCAGATGCTGACAGCTCCTGAAGGACACTGGGGAGCACGGGCAGGGACACAGTGATCAGGGGGTCATTCTAATGTATCCAAGTTCTCTTCTAAGCTAGTATTTCTTCTTCAAGAATCCACGAGTTGCCCTGGCCGGTTTGGCTCAGCAGCAGAGCGTTGGCCCGCGACCTAAGAGTCGTGGATTCGACTCCGGTCAAGGGCATGTACCTCGGTTGAGGTTCATCTCCGGCCCTGGTCAGGGTTGTGTGGGAGGCAATCGGTTGGTGTGTCTGTCTCTCTCTCATCAATGCCCCCCCCCCCCCCAATTTATCTATCTGAAGATAAATGGGAAAATATCCTCAGGTGAGGATTAAAAGGAAAAACAGGATCCACGGTCTGGGTGACCACCCGGGCGGACGCTGAGGGCTCAGCCGACCTGCTCCCAGTGCAGCCAGGGCCTAGAGCACAGCTGTTCGCTCGTGGAAGGTGCTCGGGCACGTGAGAAACGGAGAACATTCCTTCGAGAACACGTGGAAGAGCCAGTGCGAAGGGCAGGAGTCTCGGGCACCTGAACCGGAACAGCTCAGAGGGGGCATTGTGCCGGAGGCAAGAGCACGGCTTCCTCTGCCCAGCCCAGGACGCTCCTGGCAGGAGGATGGCAGAGTTTCTCATCCTGGCCCCCAACGGCCTGGTGCAGAGGGAAGTGTGGTGGGGGTCCCTGGTGAGCCCACCAGGCTGCTGCCCACCCCCACCGAGAGCTCAGCTCCAGAGCAGGGGTGTCACTCAGAGGAGCTGCCATTGTCCCTCCCGAGCCCTGGCTCACAGACTGTGCCTGGGGTCGGGGGGGTGGGGGCAGCAAAAGAGAGCTCGTCTCTCCCCAAAGGAAGGCACTTTGGGGCAAAGTTCCAACCTCAGGGTGCTCTCAAGGTGGAGGCCATGCTGAAAGGGACAGCAGGGACTCAGGACTGAACGCAGCAGCAGCTAGACCACTAGTTCCAGGGAAGATTAGGCAGCTGGGAACTCCTAGGACCAGAACAGATGTCACTGACCTTCAGCACAGGTCCTAGAAAGGAGGCAATTCGTTTGCAGAGAAATGTACACCCCAGGGCATTGTTGGGAGCAGCAGAGCCACTGGCTGGCCATTCGTGGGGCTAACAGCTGGGTGGGTCAGGAAAGGAGTGGCAGAGACCAGCCACGCCACTGTGGGCGACAAGCACGCTCAAAGCCGCACCTCCCCGTGGAGCAACAACAGAGGGGGTGGGGGCGACGGCGCTGAAATCGCCCAGTCATTCAATACACTGGCTAAATGCTCATTTTTATGTTACATATACAGCTGACCTACGGGGCCAGTTTTATCTGGATGGTTTTCAGTCGATCTGTGCAGTTCAAGCTCTTGCTGTCCAAAGGTCCACTCTGCAGGTGGGAGCCCACAGGAGCCATGTCCCCTGCACTGCCTGTGGGGCTTCGTGCCCAGGTGCCCGGTACTCTGCTCACCACATGCCTAGCGGGGCTGCTCTTCTGTTCCTGTACCCAAGGGCATTTTTTTCCTCTTGGGGGGCCCTGGCTATATTTTTGGTCTATCTGTTCTCTACTTAGACTTTATCTTCTCACTGCTGTTTGGAAAAGAGGTTGAAGCACGAGCTATGCTGCCACCCTGCTGCGAACACAATTCGTCCAAGAAGCAGGGGCACAGCTGGCCAGGATGCTCCCAGGGCAGACGGACAGGCGCAGGCACGCAGCGTGAGGCGGGAGGGGCAGAGGCCGGGCTGGGAAGGCCCGTGTGCACCAGCGCACAGGGCCCGGATCTCACCTGGAAGGGGCTGGGAGTCACCCCCCTGCAGAGTCCCAGGCAGTGCCTGGCATGCAGGTCATGCTAGAGGTGGGCTTGCGGGTAAGCCAAGGCCTCGGGGGCAGGGCTGAGCTGGGCTGGAGGAGAGCGGGAGAGCCTGCGGGGAGCCGCCAGCACAGGCCCGGGGAGAGTGCGGACTGTATCACGGCCAGCGCCCGGACAGACGAGAAAGCCCCCCCAAGGCGCAGCCGCGTCTCCGGCAGGCGCCCTGCCGCTCACCCTCCGTCAGCTTCGAGGGTCCCTGGACACTGTGTTCAGAAGAGCCCGCAGAGGGGGCCTGGAGGGGGCACTCCAGGTACGCATGGCAAGCCGGCAGGGGGTCTGCGGCAGCTGAGCAGATCCGAGAGGAGAAAGGGCAGGGCAGCTCCTAGGACCCAGCAGGAGCACTGAGGGATGGAGTCACGCTTTCTGAGAAGGGAGGGCTTACGGAAGACCTCGGGCGCCCAGTGTGGGACTTGCTCAGTGAGATGTTAGCAGACACTCCGGCGGCAATGCCGAGTGCAGAGCTGGAACTGCCAGCCTGGCGTTCCTGGGAGAGCTGGTGAGGGGTGGGGTATCGATTTTCTTCCCCACAAATCAACAAGGCCCTGAGTGTAGACGAGAAGAAACAAGGTTCAAGCCGCGTGGCAATGGCACACTGACGGGCTGCAATGCGAGGGCCCAGCAGAGACGGGCTCGTCGGCAGGAGGGACGCAGGCAGGACACCAGGGTGTCACGTGTTCCCAGGAGGAGTGAGCAACCGTACCAGGTGAGGCTGGCCCACACCAGCTGCCCGGCGCTGACAGGCGGGTCTGCTGCCGTGGTCTGGTGCGGTGACCACAGCTGTCCTGGCACGTGGGGCGGAAGCCTGGCCGCACTGCATCAGTGGAGGATGGGAGAGGAGCGGCGAGCACACGGAACCCCCCGAGGCCCCTCAGCGAGGGGAGAAGGGAAATGGGACGGTGCTACAGAAGGTGTGGGGGTCCAGGCAGAGGGCGACTAGCAGAGTGACCACCTCGAGCAGCCGAGACAGATGGTGTGGTAAGTGCAGAGGGTGGCCTTCCCTGGGAGCACACGGGTCACCCGGAGGGGAGGAAAGGCAGCTGGACAGAGGGGCAGAGGCTCGGATCACCAGGCAGACGTGCGTGGGAACTGAGCGGCCCATCCGCCCCCTTGCCTCTCCCTGACAGACAGACAGACAGCTGCAATGAGAGAGCAGGCGAGGCGCAGGGGTGGGGCGGGATGAAAGCAGCCGTGTAGAAAGACAGGGTTGTGGCAGGTCAGTAACATGGCTGTGGCACATCTGGGTCCCCCCTGGTCACTCGGGAATGTAGACGGAGGATGGACTTGGTGGCTGCAGGTTCCAACGACGTGGAAGAGGAGAGGGAGCTGCAGGGTGTGCAAGGCTGTGGTGATGACGGACCGCGGATTTCAGGAGCAAGAACAGAGAAGACATGAGACGAGGCGGGACCAGGCAAGGTGGCAGTGAGGTCACAGGACTATAGGTCCCAGAAGAGGGAGTGTCAGTGTTGTATTTTTAAAAGCTTTATGATCTATTATGAACAAATTTCACCACCTTTACATGAAACACCAAGTCACAGCACAAGGTGGACACTGGGAGCTTAGTGGGTATGTGTGTGTGAGAGTGTAAGTGTATCTGAGAGTATGAGTGTGTGAGAGTGTAAGTGTATCTGAGAGTATGTGTGTGAGTGTAAGTGTATCTGAGTATGAGTGTGTGTGAGAGTGGGAGTGTATCTGAGAGTATGAGTGTGTGTGAGTGTAAGTGTATCTGAGAGTATGTGTGTGAGTGTAAGTGTATGAGAGTATGAGTGTGTGTGTGTAAGTATCTGAGAGTATGTGTGTGAGTGTAAGTGTATCTGAGTATGAGTGTGTGTGAGAGTGGGAGTGTATCTGAGAGTATGAGTGTGAGTGTAAGTGTATCTGAGAGTATGAGTGTGTGTGTGTAAGTGTATCTGAGAGTATGTGTGTGAGTGTAAGTGTATCTGAGTATGAGTGTGTGTGAGAGTGGGAGTGTATCTGAGAGTATGAGTGTGTGTGTAAGTGTATCTGAGAGTATGAGTGTGTGAGTGTAAGTGTATCTGAGAGTATGAGTGTGTGAGTGTAAGTGTATCTGAGAGTATGAGAGTGTGAGTGTAAGTGTATCTGAGAGTATGAGTGTGTGAGTGTAAGTGTATCTGAGAGTATGAGTGTGTGTGTGTAAGTGTATCTGAGAGTATGAGAGTGTGAGTGTAAGTGTATCTGAGAGTATGAGAGTGTGAGTGTAAGTGTATCTGAGAGTATGAGTGTGTGTGAGTGTAAGTGTATCTGAGAGTATGAGTGTGAATGTAAGTGTATCTGAGAGTATGAGTGTGTGTGAGTGTAAGTGTATCTGAGAGTATGAGAGTGTGAGTGTAAGTGTCTGAGAGTATGAGTGTGTGTGTGTACGTGTATCTGAGAGCGAGTGTAAGGTGTGAGTGGCGTGAGTGTGTCACAACTCCACATGCACTAGCTACAAGGCATGAGGTGCTCCAGACTCGGAGCTAGGACACAGAAAGGATCCCCAGAGCCCACGTCCCCTCGCTGACCAGCTGCGGCCCACATTCCCATCACCCCACTGCCCGCTCATCCCCAGAA